CTTCACCACGGCCAAGTAGCGCGCCTTCTCATAGGTAGGCCCAAATGGATCCTGAGTTCTCTTCCATGACCTCCTTGGGACCCAGACCTCCTCCCCAAATGCCGCTGGCATCAGCTCGTTCCGCTGCCTCTTTTCTTCGGCCACCACTGCGTATCGAGCTGCCATTGGCCAAAACTTCACATCCATCTTCGCTCCCTTCAGCAGCCTCCTCATGCGGCTCTTCAGACTGCCAATGCAAGCTTCCGCACGACCGCTTTCCTGCGGCGAGTCTGCACTCGTTGTAGTTTTCTCGATCTCCCTCACCAAGCACCATTTCTTCAGGTCGTGGTTCAGGAACTCCTTTCCCCGGTCCGTGTGCAATCTCTGGACCGGGTAACCTTCCCTCTTCAACTGAATGTAGATGTCCTGCAGCCCTTGAAGCACCGTCTTTGCCTTCTTGTCGGGTAGGGAGATCGCCTTGACAATCAGCCTCAATGGCTTTGGCTCCCCACACTCCTTCCTGGCTCGGTCCTCCGGATCCTCCTCCTGGCCGTCACCATCTACCCTCTCTCCCTCTTTCTCCGGATCTCCCTCTGGATCATCCAGCTCGCCTTTTTCGCACGCTGGATCCTCACCCTCCACTTTCTTCTCCTCCAGGACTGGCAAGTCCTCTCCGTCTTCCTCTTTCTCCTTGCCGTCGAAGAACTTTGTCTGGTCCTCCTCCGCAGGCCAAGTGAATGAGCCGATGAGGAAGTACTTCTGGGTCGCATCCCCAACGTCCTTTCCAGCCCGGTATGGGCCACTCAAGTCCGCATTCAAGACCGCCGCGTAGGGATAGGCGATTTTTGCATGCCGCTTCCCCCTTGCCGACGCCTCCTGACATACTCGGCAGTCCCGGCGAAATGGCACATGTCCATGGCGGACGTGCTCAAACCAGCTTAGCTTTCTCACATGAGCCGGCCGTCCGAAGACCTCCTGTTGCAAAGATCTCGCCACCTCTCTCATGAATCCCGGAGCCCACCTTGACAAGGCCGCCGAGTCTGCCACCGCTGCCATCTCTCTGGTAGTTGCCGATGAGGATCCTCCTGGGGGCAAATCCACCTCCAAGTCAGTGACGATACGCGTCGGCTTCACCGCCAACCCCCCGTAGTCTCCCTGCTTGAAACCGTGCTCCAGAAGCCCGTGTTGATCTCGGAAGGCTACGTAATTCCTGGTTCGCCACCACGATCCGCACTCCGGCACGTACCACGGCGCCTCCGGCTGCTCTAGCAAGAACGCAACCTTTGATCTGGCCGTCGTTGTCACCTTCCTGCCTCGTCGAGCTTCCTCCGCCACACAGTACAGCATCACCATGCGGTAGAGCAGTACATCGTCCTCGAAGACCTGCTTCTTCTCCTCCTCATCCAGCCAAGGAAGCCCAAACCAGTTCTCCGGCTCCACCCCCCTCACCGGCCTTGGCCTCCCGGCTGGCAACGGGTAGTGTCTCAGCACGCTCCGAGTCCTGCAGTTGGGGCCACCCACCACTCCGAGGATGTTCCCGTCCAAGGCTGCCCTCAACAACGACGGGTATAGTGGGCCCGTCAACATGTCGTGATTGTCCCCTCTCTTGAGGTCAATTTCCACCAGCCTAGTAGTGTCACCCCCAACCTCCTTCAGGGCCCTCTGCAACGTGTAGCCCTCCTTCTCGCCCGCATAAAGGTGAAGGACAAACCCGCGCTGCATCCTTTTTCTCCTCCTCCGATTCAATGGGATCCCCTTCAGGTCGCTCGCCGGCTCGCTCACGACGTTGGCCATCACCCCAGCTGGCACCCCATCGAATACACGTTCTCTCCTCGCCAGCGCCTCCATGACGCCCCTTTCTCCTCTCGAAGTTGCCGAAGATGACCTCAATCTCGCACCTCCTGCCACCTCCACTTGCTCTAGCATGTCGATGAAGCACAGGGCCAAATCCCGATCCACCTCCGGGCACCCAGCATTCATCCGCACCGGAATTTCCCCCAACGTGGGATGCTTCATTTGGCAGGCTCCCCAGGAAGTCCAGGTGACCTCGCAATTCAACTTGTCCACCAAAAGTCCCAAGGGCACTATCGGCTGCACGCCCGCCTCCTCATGGATGATGACCTTCCCCGGGGTCATCAAGAGCTCCTTTCTCTGGCCTCCGGCCAATTCCACCACGATTGTCTCCAGGTCGCTCCTGTCGTCGCCTTCTCTCATGCCTCTCATGGCATGCGTCGCCCCCGAATCCAGGAGGCCCATCTCCGTCCGGAAGTCAATCTTCGAGATCTTGACCTCTCCAAACTTCCGGATCTTCATTTCGTTCAGCTGCTTCTGAAGATCCTCCAGCTTGGCGTCCCTGCCGATCTTGCCTGTCGGGGCCACCGTCAATGATCTGAGCATCTTCCCAGCTTCCTCCAAGACGCTCTGCAGAGCGTCCGCCTCTCCTTTTGCTCCTTTCGGCGAGATCTCTTCTTGCCCGCCCAAGCTCTTCTGCGCTTCTCCCTTTTCGCACGTCGATGACATGGCGTTCTCCGTTTCCACCTTTGCGACCTTCGGAGCGCCCGGTTTGAAGTCCTTCTTCCCCGCTTGCTCGGGGGCGATCTTTCTCGAGCAGTCCTTCGCAAAGTGGCTCGTAGCGCCACACACATAGCATCTGGGACGTCCGTCTCGGGCTTCATGGCTAAAGGTACATTGTGCTCCTCTCCGGCACCCTTGATCGGTGAGGAAGAACCGGCAGGGCTTCTTCTCCTTGACGAAGTCCTCCTTACCCCCTTTATCCTCCGCGTAGGTGCCCTCGATCTTCTTCGCCTTGATCTCTCCCGGGGCTGACTTCTTCTCCGTATGAACCAGCTGCTCCAGCTCCGACAAGAGGTGCTCACAGTACACCCCGATCGTGGCATAGGTCGGAACAGTGTCCACCTGCAGCTGCGACTTCGCCAGGTTGATCTTGAAGTTCAGATCCCTGTTCCCCTCCAGCACCTTCCTCGTCAGCCGATGAAGGCCTCGGTTCAACACCGAGGGATCGGGGAGCGAGACTCCGATCTCTTCTGCACGTCTCTTCCACCTCAGCCATCGTCTGATGCCCGTGACCGCGGCCTGGATGTTGGTCGCCTCTCCCGGCTGCTCCAGGTTGCGCAGGATTCCCGCCCGCTCTGCTATACCGCCGGGCTGGTACATCATCATCAGCCGGCACACCAAGGAAAAGGCGTTGAGGCTTTTCGTAGCCACGACCTCGTCCTTCACCGCATCCGGAACGGCCTTGATCAGAAGGGTGACCGCCTTCCGCTCCACTCGTCTCCACCTTGAGCTTTGCGACTCTCCCACCTTTGGTACCATGGTGAGGCGCTTGAGCGGCGTCTCCTGCATGTAGTCGCCGTACCACCGCTTGGCTTCCTGCAGGACCAGCTCCCACCATTCCTGGCTTGTCTCCGACAAATCTGACATCGCCGGAGTGATCAACGTCAACCAGTCCTGCAAGTCAATCGAGCTGGTTTCTGCATTGAGCTCCGCCAGCATCGGCAACTCCACCGCTCCAGCCTTGACCACCTCCACCGATTCCTCCTCCGTGCTCCTGGAACCACCCGCGAGGAGCTTCTTCTGGATCTGCTGCATGCCCTCCATGAGCTTCAAGATGATGGCCAAGTGATCGCCCTTCTCATCGTCCCGAATCATCTCCTCCGAGGACTCCCGCTTGTCGTCCTCCTCGACCTTGCCGTTGGGCGGGTCCGGCGTCGTGTAGGTCTCCCCCGAGTTGTTTCCCGCCTTCAATCTTTTGTTCTCCTCCAAGAGCCGCTTGATCTCCAACCTCATGGAATCCACCTCTCTTGGCCTCTGCAATTGACCATCCCCCGCTCCCGCGTCCAGAAGCTGAGGTTGCTCTCGGGGCAAGAAGTCTGGCCGCCTAAGCGGAGGATCTCGCATCTCCCCCAAGTTCACCAACCCGCCGGGTCGATCCCAGCGTTTCAAATATTCCAGCTGCTCCTGGGTAAAAAGAGGCCCATAGCTCTCCGGTTGCCCTGCTGGTCCCCGAAGATCTTGATCACCTCCTGGTTGTAGCTCCACCGCCCCCGGCGTCGCCCACGGGTTTCTCGATGCCGTAGACCACAGCCTCCGTTGCACCATTGACGAGCTTGGGGTCCCGGGTCCCTGCTCGCCGGCAACTTCCCGACCTGCTCCATCACCACCCGATTCGACTCCAGCTGGTCGAGCTCTGGTCGCGGCTGACCCTTTTCCACTGCCGGGCGGCTTCACCACCATCTCCTGTCCAATCAACTCCAACCCAGGTGCCGGCTGCACATTCTCCCTCTCCGGGGCAGGTGCCCTCTGCGATCCCTCCCCCTGTTCCTGTTCTCCTTCATGAGGATCTCCGTCCTCCACCGCTAGAGGTTCTCCTTCTCCACCATCGCCTCCAGCTCCTTCTGCGCCTTGAGCTCCTAGCTGAGCATTGCGGCGCCTGGACCTCATGTCCTTTCAGCTACCTTGGGCTCATAACCTGCTAAGGTGCAGGTCAGGCTTTTTGAGCTTCAAAGGGGCTTCAGTTCGTCGAAGCGTTTCATTTGACTCTCATCTGTATATGAATGCAACTCTTGGCAGATACGATTGCGATGCTTCCCTTTGCGAGGCAACGCCTTAAAGGGGCATTGTATGTCAGGGAAGTGGTTGGTAAGCCTTGTGAGATAATTCACAAAAGCCATGGCTATAAGTCTAGGTGGGTTATTTCACCAGGCTTACTAACCACCTACCTGACGTACCCTTGTGATGATGGGGTCGAATGAGACAAATCTTGCCGGTGCTCAGTAGGGAAGGACCGTTCCGGTTGTTGGGAATGAACCGTTTTGGCATTCCCTCAAAGGAAGCCAAATCGGTTGGTGTGTTTGTCTCGGGATCCTTCCAATTCTCATTCTTAGGGATTCCCTTAAAGGAACCACAGTGGATGTTTTTTCTCGGTCATTCCAATTCTCCTGGCCCCTGCCTATACCGGCAAGCAGATGGGGCTCAGGTCCCGACGGCCGGTTAAACCGCAGGACTTGCGAGAAGGCTTGCTGCAGGCGCTCGCGGAAAACGCAGAGACCCTGCCAGCGCTGAAGGAGCGCGAGAGAGCGAAGGGCCTGAGTCGGTGCCATGTGGGGGGTTGATTAAACATATGTGAGAAAGGCGGCAGTTTTGAGCTTGGGGAAAGCTTTTCCCATGTGGTAGTATCAAATAAGTTTGATTGGTGGTTTTCCAACCAGTGGTCATCCCACGTAAAGGACCTTCTGATCGACCAGCATCTGAGAACCCGCCTTCTCCACCCTTCGGTGCACAGACCCTCTGATGTTTGCGCGGGTGTGAAATAAATCGCCTCCATCCACGAAGAATGGGTTTGCTGACAAAATGATGGTTGGAAGATGCTGGCTCTCGCCTCCGTGGTTTCCGTGGTTGATTCAAGACTCACGGAGATAGGGCAAACTTGGGTGTGTCTGTCTTTCACCAAATGCTTCGTGTGGCCCTTTGCTATGGGTACCTAGAATCCCTCCGGAGAAAACAGGAGAAAACAGGGAAAAGCCTCTTTTTTTGAGGCGGCCCCCCCTCTTTTTGTGGCGTTCTGAAACCCAAGAGGAGAAGCTTTTCTCCCCCCCTCCCCCCCCCCCATCTTTTTACGGGCCTTCGTTACAAAACACTGGTGGGTGGTTGCGAAATCCGCTTCGCGCCACTTTGAAACTATAGCAAGCCATTCTTTGTTGGTATTTGCATGGGAGTCATCGCCCCAGGGTTCTTTAGGAGGTGCCCATCCACAGAATATGTCGCTTCCAATCTTAGATAAATCGAATAAATGTTTCTGTATTTCTTTTCGCCTTTCATTTCCCCGAGCAACTAGCAGTGCTATTAGAAATCCACCGTCGGACCGTCGGACCCATTCGGCCAGCCTCACGGAGTCGAGCCTCGAGCTTCCGGAGGCCTTCGAGCTGCCCGCGGGCAGCAAGCTGCTGGCGGTGAACGACGCGTGGCCCTCCTTGAAGGAGCCGCGCGAGCGAGCGCTCCAGCGGTGCGCGCTTGAGCGCTTGCGCGCTCGAGTTACGCGTGGGGGTGGATGGATCCATATGCCGTGGAAGGCGCCAAGGGGTGCAAATGATTTGGTAACTTTCCGCATTGAGTGGTGAGTTCGCCGTATTTTTTGGTGGTTTCCCGAATGGTTGCCCCATGGAAAGGACCTTCTGATCAACCCCCACGTGCTCGAAACCTAAAGGCGGGTAAGATAGGGGCAATCCCCTTGCCATGGAGACGGCTGCGGAATTCCGGCTTTTCTTGGGGCATGGTTCTGGGTAGACCATTTTGACTCAGGTGAAAGGATCCGGTGTTTTTTTGGCCTAGGGCCGTTTTTTTGTTTTTTCTTACTAGGGCTGATCCCCTGGTGGGTTGGTTGGTTGGTTGGTTGGTTGGTTGGTTGGTTGGTTGGTTGGTTGGCTGGCCGCATCCCCGGCATCACCGGCCGCACTTGGACCTGGGGCAGTTGGGAGTTGCTGGGGGCTGGTTTAAGTTAGGGGGCTTTTGGCTGGCTTAGATCTTCATGAGGTTGATTTAGGCGAAGCGAAGGGCTGACGGCTGCTGTTGGGCGGGTTTAGTTTGGGTTGGCTTGAAGCTGATTTGTGTTAGTTGTGCTGCTGGTTTAGCAGCGGCTTTTCGGTTTTGGAGTGTTGATGCTGGTGATGCTGGGGATGTTGCCAGCCCTGGGGAAAACCAGCTCCAGGAAAAAGCCAGCCCCTAGTAAAAAACACCGTTACCTCAGGTGAAAATTTAAGAAATTAACTTAACTTTTTAGGGCATCTTGCTGGTTCGATAGGCAGGGAATGAGAATTGGCATGACCCCACGAAAAACACGCCATGAGATGTTGTTTCCTGCAAGTCATTTGATGTGCTGGTTGGTGCTTGTTCGGCTCTCAGCTTGGAAAGCCACCATGGCGAGGGTGCTTCCCCATGAAGAATGCTTTCCAGGTTTCCCAGTAGTGCCCTTTCTCACCCCTTTTTTGGTCGGGAGGGTTCCCCTACTAAAACAGACTACAGAAAAAAAGGGTACCCCTCTCCACTGGAGGACCAAGCTTTGCAGGCAATGGTTGCAAACGCTTTGTGCCGTGGCTGTTTTGTCCATGTGGGTCATGGGCAGTTGGCTTTCAACAAGTCCTACAGTTCAATGTGGGTCAAGTCGTTCAGGTTGAATGACCTCCGCCCGAAATCGATGACCAATCCTGTGAGTTCGGGTGACTTGTAGGTGAGCATAGGGACACCCAAAGCCGTGCAGCCGAACATGCAAGATCCCCATTTTGGGATGACTTGTTTGGTGATGTGAATGAAGCATCCGTTGGCTCATTTTGGTTAAGCCAATTGCCTGTTGCTTTCTTTTTGTGAGTGAGCCTGTAGGTGTTTGAGCCAGTCAGAGTTGTATGTATTACTTCATACATGCTCCTCTTCAATGCATGCGCCTGCAAAAAAAATAGAGTGTTCATAGTTGCAGTATCGTAATTGCTCTGTTGCCTCACCATGCCTCACCAACAGGACAGTTGTACGTGTTTTAAGCAACAAGCACCAAGCAACATGTACCCGAGGCAGAAGGACAAAATCATTTGCTTGAAACAGGGAGGGGCCCGCATATCATCAGAACTGGCTAGACGCATCCAAGTAGCAATGGCTTCTCTTGGGTGTCCTTCTGGAGACTATACGCCACATGGTGTCGTGTTGGTGTTGGTTCCCTTGTGGGTTTGTGTTTGCAACCAGCCAGCAGGAATCCAACTCGTTTTGGATGCACAGTTTGGACCAATTGGGCTACCCTTACCTACTCAAAGGGGCGATCGATGCAGGGTACGTCAGTTAAGTGGTGAGTAAGCCGGGTGAAATAACCCACCAAAGCCGCGGTTTTAAGTCTCTGTTCAGAGGGTTGTCTCACCAGGCTTACTCATCACTTACCTGACGTACCCTGCATCGATCGCCCCTTTAAGTACAATACTGTGGGTGGACGAAATCCGTTCGCACCACTTTGAAACTATGGGAAATTATTGTTTGTTGCTATTTTCAGGGGAATCATTCTTCCAGGGATTCTTAGGTGGTGCCTAAGAGGATTCCGTCCACAGTACCAAAAAGCAAAAACAAATGGGGATTTGGGAAGTGAGCAGTTTTTGTGACATGCAACTTGAAGACTTTGGTGTGTAAGGTGATTCTTGGTTAATCACGGTACAGTAGAGGAGCTGCTCGAAAACTTTCCAGGAGGATCTGGTGGAGGAGGTTCAGAAGGCCAGCTTGCCGGCGCTGCTGGTCTTCGAGCGTGCCGGCATCTCCTTCTCCGAGGCCTGCGACGAGTCTTGATCCTAGGGGTTGATTCCAACCATTCTTTTCAACCATCGTTCTTTGATAAAACTGGCGGTTTCCGGAAGGATGGGGGAAGGTACCCCTAGATTGATGTGAGCCGAAAAACCCAGCCACGTAAGGTTTGGAGAAAAACACATTTTGCAGGGGGGAAAACAGCTTGGCAAATTTGTTTCGGAGAAATCCAAATTGAAATTGCAGGGGAACGACGGCTACACGAAACTTTTGGAGAAAAACTCAAGGGGAAAACTGCTACCCGAAACTTTTGGAGGACACCTCAAATTGCAGGAACGAAACACATCAATTCATTCTATAATCAGGTGAGCCGAAAACCCCGCGGCATCGATCAGCATCGATTGCCAACGATCGGCGATGAGGGGCCTGATAGCGGGGGCAAAGGGTTTTAGAAGGACACCCCCACCAAATTCCTCTCAAGGCAGGGGGATGGATGGGGTGTGTTGGTTTCTCTACCCGCTCAGGAGGTACTTTACAGCACATTTCAAATCTCTCAAGAGCATTAATATGAGGGTTGATCAATATTTCGTTCGACCCCCAAATGACCATGGGTAACTTTTCCCATCTAGCGAGACATATCATCTTTTTAGTGGTTTTCCAACCAATGGTCATCCCATGTTCATGAGACCATATGAGACCTTTTGATCACAGACCAGGAGGGCTACAAAATCGTCCGTTCCAGTTGCAGGCCCCCCTTTTTCAACAAATCAACTCGGTGCATTTTGTTTTTGCTTCCCTAGGAAACATAGTTGCATCTATTTATCGGCATTCATGCACTTGAGATCGTTTCAAGATTGCAGGCCAAGGCACTCTTTCATGTGTCCGATCGCAAAGTTTGTACAAACTTTTCACGGCTCATCTTTCAACTAACGGCATGTCAGGCAAATTCAGGTTGTGGAGACGCAACAGGGTCGACTGCTTCTGACCGCGCCATGCGAGCTCGGTGAAATCACCGGAATGTGTGTGGCAATTACACTTTTTTTGCGGGGCAACGGATCTCACTCAAGAAGGACCCTTTCTTGAGATTCAGGACTTTGAATGATAAGTTTCCTGACAATCCAATCACTGTACTAGGCACGCAGCCAGGAGAAAGAAGCCAAGAACGATAGGAGGGTCTGAATCCACTAGCCCAGTTCACTGGCCTTGAAAGCAAGCCCAACAAGATAGTGCTTGCCAGGGTTGTCGGGTCAAGGGGTTTATCCCGATACAAGGGAATCTCCGGGAATCTCCCCTTAATATAGGGGGGTTAGTCTTTGGGAAGCCCTTTTTGTTCCTTTTATGAATGGGAACTCCCCAAAATTGAAGAGCCAGGGGCCATGTTGAGTGCCCTCTCCCGCTAACATGGCCAGGGAAGCCCTTCAAGACGAACGTGTCCTCCCGCAGGTGCCTTCGGTTTGTAGGAATTGCCACTTCTGGGAGCCACACTTGGAGCAAGGGGCTCAGTGGTCAGTAGCTAAGTCGCGGCTTAAACGGTTATGACTCAGTGGTTAGTAGCTAAATCGCGACTTAAGGGGTTATAACTTAACCCACTGAAGGGAGACTTGGAACCATGGCTTTTGTGGGTTACTTCACCAGGTTTACGATTACCACTTAGAAATGACGTCCCGAATCGATCCCCCCTTTCATTTAAGCAGCCCATGGACAAAACAAATCTCTCCCGCGCCGGCGAGGTTGAGATGGAACTCTCCCCCCCTGCGCGGGTGAAGTCCGTGTCCTTTGCCACGGGCAAGGCGCGGCCGGGGGAGCCGAAAGCGAGGCGCAAGTGAACCGCTAGGTCCCCCAGTAGTGCCAACTTTCTCACCAGCTTTGGTTGTTTTGGTAGAAACATACATGGGTTCCCCAGGTTTACCTGGTGGTTTAATTATCTACCACTAGTGCCCTTTTTAGCTAGTGCCCTTTCTCACCCCTTTTTTGGTTGGGAGGGTTCGGGACCCTACTAAAATAGACCACAGAAAAAAGGGCACAATAACTTATTCTAGCCTCTCTACTGGAGAACCTAGTTTTTTTTGGTCAATTTTTGCGGGACCCTAACATGATGGGTTTGCTTTGGTTTCCCCTGAACAGAAAACCGACCAAACTCCGGGTCCCCCAAAAAAACACGCACCCGTACGGTCAATTTGAATTGCACACACACACACACACACCCACCCACCCACCCACCCACCCACGCACGCACGCACGCACGCACCTTTTTAGCTACACCCCAGGGTTCGGGACCCTACTAAAATAGACCACGCACAATAACTTATTCTAGCCTCTCTACTGGAGAACCGTCAATTTTTGCGGGACCCTAACATGACTGAACAGAAAACCGACCAAACTCCGGGCACGCACCCGTACGGTCGCACGCACGCACGCACGCACGCACGCACGCACGCACGCACGCACGCACGCACGCGCACACGCACACGCACACGCGCACAGCGCACACGCTTCGCACGCGCACGCGCACGCGCAGCGCACGCGCACGCGCACGCGCACGCGCACGCGCGCACACGCACACGCACAGCACGCACGCACACGCACACGCACACGCACACGCACACGCACACGCACACCACACACACACACACACACACACACACCACACACACACCACACACACACACACACACACACACACACACACCACACACACACACACACACACACACACACACACACACACACACACACACACACACACACACACACACACACACGCACGCACACGCACCCACACACGCACCCACACACGCACCCACACACGCACCCACACACGCACCCACACACGCACCCACACACGCACCCACACACGCACCCACACACGCACCCACACACGCACCCACACACGCACCCACACACGCACCCACACACGCACCCACACGCACCCACACACGCACCCACACACGCACCCACACACACACACACACACACACACACACACACCACACACACACACACACACGCACGCGCACGCACACACGCACACACACGCACGCGCACACACGCACACGCACACCCACACGCGCACACACACGCGCACACGCGCACACGCGCACACACGCACACGCGCACACGCAACACGCGCGCGCGCACGCGCGCGCACGCACGCACGCGCGCACGCACGCACGCACGCACGCACGCACGCGCACGCACCCACGCACCCACGCACCCACGCACCCACGCACCCACGCACCCACGCACCCACGCACCCACGCACCCACGCACCCACCCACCCACCCACCCACCCACCCACCCACACACACACACACACAATCACACCCACGCGCGCACACTCACACCTCAACAAAGACAGGCCATGCGTTGGAACAGGCCATGCGTTGTGCCACGCATTGGTCAGTCCGTGAAAATATGGTGATTGGGAGACGCGCGATGTACATCATGCATCATACGGCAATATCCACTTGAATCTGCAGCTTCGCAAAGCTACATGGGCGTTAAGGGCAGTACCAGCCGGTGTGTGGCAACTCAGTGAGCGAGAGCGGAGAATGGCGAAACTGCTTCCGTGCGAGCTGATTTCACTCGATGTCAGATGTTACTACCCAAAATGGGTTGCCCTGGTAAATGGACACATGGACTAAAATCCCTGCGGTCCAACTCCTGGTGGTTTAATTTTGACACCCATTTGTTCATTGGTCAGCCACAGGGTGGCTCAAAGAATGAAAGGACCAGCAATCCCAGAATGGCCCCTGAAGGCCCAGAAGGCCAGTCTTGGCTTGTGAGCCTGTATGGTTTTGTTCTCGGGCAGTTCCCAAATGACATCAACAACTAGTTATTAGTTGCCTTTTTTCCCTAATATATGTATATATATTATATATATATATACATTGGGGGGGGGGGGGGGCGACCATATAGCTATGAAGAAAGAAGGAAAGAAGGGGGGGGCCTGACCATATGTATATATAATACATACATATCTGCTGGGCAGAAGCCAGTCAAAACAGGTTTTCTGCTGAGGCTGAGGTGCTGCGGCGCAGGGCGGCGGCGTTTTGTACTTCTGTTCTCCTGTGTTAGTTGAATTAAAAGCCCGGGCGCAGTATGGTGCGAGCGGCTCACTGGATGTCCCATTTAAAATGTTGACCAATTTGTTGATCGCCACTTGAGCCTCTATCAAAACCCAGGTACGATCCCATCCATAAACAGCTGCAGCCGCCTTGTTAGTTCTTGAAGCATGGTTCTGGGATTACGACCATTTTTTCCGGGTTTTGAGCAAGTGACTCACTTAACTGCCAAAACTTAAAAATCTTTGCTCCCCTTCCAACGTCAAGCAAGGGCCTTGGACACTGCCCCTGCCGCTGTTTTGGTTTTTCCTCGTGCTTCAGGACGACCCCAGCCTGGACCCGGTGTGCTGGCAGGTGGGGCCGGAGGGAAACGTGCGGTGTGGGTGGCGGTGGCTCCAGCGTGCTCACGTCTTGAGCTCTTGGACTTTAGTTCTTTCTTTTTTGGGTTTTGGGGGGTTTGGACCATTGACTTTATTTCTTTTTTGGGGGGGTTTGAAAGGACCATTTTAGTGGTGAATGACATGGGAAGTGGGAGCATTGTTGGACCATTTTGGGTTTGGACAATGTTGGTAAATCAATTGGGAAGACAATTTTAGTGGTAAATATACAAAGTTCAGACTCAATCCAGTTAGGAAGTGAGGATGCGGCTAAGGTACGGGATTTTCCGTGCCGAGATGCCGTTGGGTACAACTCGCTTAGTGTATGCCAGGCTTCACTGTTCTTGGCAAGTCTCTGGGTTTGTTGTTTTTTTTGGTTCTTTTCATTTTTAGTAAGGGGGCTGCGAACACAACGGTTTGTGCAACCATAGCAAGGGTTGTGAAGCAAGAGGATCAGGGAATATCCTGAAGCTTTGCAGCGAGTTTGATCCTGTCAATGCGCGCGTGTGTATTTCCCGAACAAATCGGGAACCATGAGGCCATGATTGAAGACCTTGCGATGGTTTGGGGAGCGGTGGTTGAAAAGGGAAAACCAATTGTGTCTCGTTTTGAGGGCACCACATTTTTTTGGGGGGTGGCTTAAAAGGGACACCACATTCGGAAGCCTACCATGTTGGGGGGCCACTAAAGACACAGCCAAGTGGTAACGTGTTCATGGGTCTAAGAGCTTGGAAGCAGAAAGCGACCTTTGGGAAGGAGCTACTCAAGGATTCTTGGGTATGCCAACCAATTTGCTCGCCTGTGCGAGCATCTGAGGGCATTTGAAACTCCCGGCGAGTGTTTATTCAACTCTGGTTCTCGATGGGGAATGCCTCAAAACTTACAGGTGGGCATAGCTTCCCATGTTAATGAGGTCAACCAACCAGGTTTTCGTGTTTTGGATTTATACCCAAAGGGGCCAATGGGTCCGAATCTCCAGTTTGGCTTCGTGGCTATTTGGTTGGATCTTTGGACCTGAAGCGTGTTGAAACGGATCGGAGTTTCCATCTTTCAAAAGTTGAACACTTGTCCGCATCAGGCCTTAAGGGCTTATTTGGTTGCTCCCTCCAGCCCCTCTCCATACCCCTTCCTGAAAATTGTATTGATGGGTGGGGGCCACGTCACCTAGGAGTATACAAATGGAACCTTTTCTCTTTGTCACCTAGGAGTATACAATCCCCTCTCCCTCTTCCTCCCCCCAGCCCCCATGAGATTCAGTTTGGGGGCCTGGTCTCTCTGCGCAGGTGGAAGGCTTGGTGGTGAACGAGCAGGGGCAGGGCGTGTGGAAGCAGCTGGTGTGGCAGGACAAGCCCTACCTTCCCCCGTGGAAGCGCGAGCAGCTGGGACCGAGGTTGGTTTGGGCGCACAGGGGGGAGGGGGAGGGGGAGGGGGGAGAGGGGGGGGGTGGGACAGGGGGGAGGGGTAGAGTGGGAGTTGGGGGGAGGGGCAGAGTGGGAGTGGGGGGGAGAGGGAGGAGGGGTAGAGTGGTGTGATGGAATGAGTTTCTGTGCTTCAAACCGACAACAGGGTCTTACTCCAACTGGGATTCCGTCACAAAAAAGCCGGGCCCTTCTGCAATGGGATCAGAATGTGGTTTATCCAGCTTCAACCCGCAACGCGATTCCGCTTTGTTTGCACTGAGAAATTCAGGGCCACTCGTTCGGTGGTCACAAGAAACCGCCAGCGACAAGTGCTGGTTTGACACATTTCCACACCCATGGTCCAAAGTTAGTCTTATCAGGTTTATCTTGAGTGTATTGACTGCTCTTCATGCTTGCGATTGCTTCCCAAGCTTTGCAGACTTGGCGTGGTTGATAGACTGAAACCGGGCTTGAGGGCCAAAGCAACCAGGGCAGCCCGAAGGTTGAAACACACTTCGGGTGTTTATTGAATAGGCCATGAAGGATTCAGGCCAAAACCACATGTCCCTAACTCCTTACCCATCGTGTGCCTGACGTGTCGGCTCTCAAGCTTTGCTTTTCGCACTTGGCAGTTGGGCTTTTGGCCATGCGCGAAGACTGGATGTTGGGTTCCTACTGTGGATGGTTGCAAAATCGTCTTAGGCACCACCGACAAAAGCTCCTGGGGTGATGCTTCCCCTGTAAATCCAAGAAACGTTATGGTTTGCGTGTTGGCTTCAAAGTGGTGCGAAGTGAATTTCGCAACCACCCGCAGTATCATGCGCCTTTGTGCACTTGACAGCGTGCTCTGCTCAAACTCAGGACAGACCTCTGCATGGTTTTCGACGTGGAGCACTGGCGGGTCTCCGGCAAGGCCTGAAAGGGTGGATGCTTGTTAGTGGATGGATCATGCGCTAGTCAGCGTGTGGTGTCAGCTGAAGCCCCCCCGTTTCGTTGTTCTCAGGTTGCCTTGGATTCAGATTTTCTGACCCCTCCTATCGAATTCTTGAAGTTTGCGAAGTTGTTGTTTCTTTGTTCTCGGGTTGCCTCGGATTTGGATTTTCTGACACGCGGCTTCAGCAGTCGAATGAGGTGCTTTGTCCTTGGCCCGTTTTCTCTTAGGTCTGGCTCTCTGGCTGGCTGGGTGGTTGGTTGGTTGGTCAGTTGGTCAGTTGGTTGGTCGGTCGGTCGGTCGGTTGGTTGGTTGGTTGGCCGCATCCCAGGCATCACCGGCCTCAGTTGCACCTAGGATCTCGGGTTGTCTGGTGGCTCTGATTCAGTTGCTTGGGGCTGCTTTCATGGGTAGTTTGAGGCTGGAGTGGATCTTGCTGGGTCTTTGGGCTTTCGGCTTTGGTCTTGGATCTGGCTTAGATCCAGCCTAAAACCACCCATAGTGAACCCTAGGCCTGGGGTCCAAGTGAGGCTGGTGATGCTGATGCGAAACACCAGCCTTAGGAAGAAACAAACACCCGAGGCAATCCAAGTCCTCTACCGCAAGCAGTTGGAACCGACAAGAACTGGCTTAGATGGTCCAACCCATTAACACGGAACCAGACACCCACCAACATGGAATTAGCACCAGGGAGTCCTGGTGCTATCCACAGGTGTTATGTGGGTGGGAAGGGTACTGGTTGCAAGTCTTCAGAAGGGATAGCTGTCAAAACGGTATTGCACACATGTGTACATGGTCTACTTTCATAGTTGTTGTCAATAGGGACTCAATAGTGGTTTCCACTTGCAAGCATGTGTTATTTGCAACCGGTGTAAATATTATAGCGGAAGCATACTAGTTCACAGAGGTCACGTTGAGCACGAGGAGTCCAAAGTGATCCGAGAGGTTGCGCCAGGTAGCATCGGGTTGCCCGAGGATAGAAATCGCCCTGACAACGTTTAATGAGCACTGAGCACTCCAGAGCAACCGGCAAACATGACTTACTTTTGTCGGGTAGTTGTAATTATCCCAGCGCGTCGTTTCCTTCGATTTTGCCCAAACAGGGCGTTGATGTTCGGAGTCTTGCAAAGCATCCAAAGGCATTCTCGAAGGCTAAGCTTTGCACCCTCAAAATCATTTTTCCCCCTTTTTTTTCTTCCTGTGTTTATGAGTGGTTTCCCGTTGACTTCCTTGCAGCGGAACTGAGAGTATCCCTGGGCGTCCAGGCTGGTAGCATCACGCTGCAGTCCTTCCTCCCGGTGGTGCAAGAGCGACTCGGCGGGTTCTCGGAAGGGAGCGAGTTGTTTCTCCCCCGGGACCGCGAAATGTGCCCAGGAGACTGTGGCAAGGATGGATGAATGGCATTCATGCACCCATCCATCCATCCCATCCATCCGTTCGTTCGTTTGTTCATTCACTCACTCACCCACTCATTCATTCAGTTTGAGCCAAGATTGGTTGCTCTGTGAAGGTGTCCTTTCACAACGCACCGCTGTTGTCTGTTGCTGATTTTCAGCGCCTGGTGGTTGTGTTGTGTTCATCCAAGTGCAAGGATGTCTAGCTCTGGGCAAACCGGGGCGAAGCCCTCACACCTGGGAGAGAAAGATAGCTGCGCCAAGGTGTTTCGCCTTGCTGGGCCTCCATGTTGTTCTTGAGCAACGAAGCAAGGAAAAAGCCGGGGTTAAGGAGTGGTGGAAAGCATTTGCTGTGGTTTGGCCAGGCACGATTGGAGAAGCACATTGGAATCTGAAGCGCAATCCATGGCCAAATCGTGAAAACCTGCCTCATGAGAAAGAGCCGACTTCCAGATTTCTGTCCGACGCTCAGGCGTCATTGCAATGGATTGCAAGGAAATCCCAGCGTTTGAAGTCTCTAGGGCAAGTACAGGAAGCAAGGAACTTTGGATCCATTCACCATGTCCATGTTTTTCTCGTGCAAGCACATATCATCCCAAAGCAAGTTATCACAGCTGTAACCCATGCATGATGGCAAAGCCAGCGGTAACCGCGAAATGAAAGTGAAAACGTCGAACAAACGGCAGTACCGCCGAGACTCGCACAATCGCGTGACCGGGTGCACGTTTTTTCTTCTTCTTTTTTTTCTTCTTTTTTTTTCTTTTTTTTTGCGGGCCTCGCATGATGGCTTCTTCAGATTCCTTGTTTCACGTTTGCGGATAATACCACGCAAAAACAAACACATGCACCAGTTGGATGGATGAAACCCCAATGATTTAATCATTGTAGACACCACCTACCAAGATCACAGGTGTCCTTTTTTAGGTTTGCATCGAATTAGATGACACTAGTTTAGATGGGTTTTATTCCATTTACGAGGGCCAGGATTTGGTCCAGTAGCAACTTGCGCAGATGGGTTTGTCTTTTTTGCTGGGAGCTTCTCAAAATGTCTTGGGGTGTCCTTTTTGTCGTTTCCCTTTCTAGGTCCCCCAGCTAGGTGCAACCTTTCTCACCCTTTTTTGGTTGGGAGGGTTCCCCTACTAAAATAGACTACATAAAAAAAAAGAACCAAAAAAGAAACGGGTACCCTTATTCTAACCTCTATACTGGAGGACCTAGCTTTAAAACTCGAAAACGGGCTCCCCCAGTAGGACGTCTGACCGCTCCGCCCCTTCGAGTCGAGACTTTTTTCAAGGCGCCTGAGCTTCTTTGCGGCCTCCCTGCGGAGCCTGCTGCGGGCGGGGGACAAGTACAGCACGGGGGCCCAAAAATCAGGTGGGAGAGGCTCAAAATTAACCAGGAGGGGTTACGCAGGGGCTACCAGGAGGGGTTTTAGTCTTTGGAATTCCCTTTACCCGGGTGCCATTTTGGGTACCTATTTTTGAGCCGTCCTTTCAGCGGGGCCCCAAAAGATAGCCGCCGGTTTTAGCGGCTGACAGAAAATGCCGGTGTCCGAATTTCCCCCCCCCCCCTTTTTCAAAAAAAAAACAGGTGGAATTAAAGAGCAGGGGGTACGCAGGTTTTAGTCTTTGGTTCCATTTGCCAGGGTGCCATTTTGGGTACCGGGTTTTTGAGCCACAGAGTCTTTGGTTCCATTTACCAGGGTGCCATTTTGGGTACCGGGTTTTTGAGCCACAGCCATGTGTTTCAGCGGGCCCGCCTGTGAGCGGCTGACAGAAAATGCCGGTGTCCCCCCTGTGTTTCTTGCTCGTTGTTGGATAGGGCCCACCAAAAGCCACAATCAAAACCCGTGTAGATGAAGGCTGAGGGGCAGTCCCAGCCAGAAATAGCTGCGGATATCCGCCTTCATTACTTGCATGGTTCTGGGATTACGACCATTTTAATACAAAGGGTTTTGAGCAAGTGACTCAAGGGGGACAAGCCAATTTTCCCATGTTCCCTTGGCGCGGATTTGTTGCTAGCGCCTTTTTGGATGCACAAGAAGTTGACAGACGACCTCCCAGCTGCCATAGCTGCGGCGAGTGAACCAACCGCAAGCCATGCGTAGCCACGGATTTGAGGAACATGCGGTGCTTAATGTTTCAGTGGGGATACAACCTTGCATAGGTGTCCTTTTTTTCCGCTTTTAGGTTTGGTTAGAAATGGATGGCACACTGGTTTAGATAGGATTTATTCCATTTACCAGGGTCATCTATTGTTCCAAAAGGACACCTTGAACATGGGGTGGTCTTTTGCCCTAACAGGGTCAACCAAGTTCTTATCCTTTCAGTGTCAGGAGCCACCATGTACAGAATCCTGGACACGGTGTGACACAGTTAGCTTTAGGTGTTGGAAGTGTAGACTTGGATTGGCAGCTGCCAGGCAGTCTAATAGCTCGCATGCTGGATGTTTCCAGTCGGGAGCGAGTGTACGGTGTGGGCGTGAGCATTGGGGTGCCCGGCGATGGAATCGGTGGACGCAGTTTGCCCAGCGATTCCCCAATGAATATCACAGCCTCGAAGCCGCTGCGTGAATGTATCGAACGACGAAGCATCTTCAATCGCGTTGCGCCCAAAAACCACACGGCGTTTTGTAAAGAAACTCACTATTCGCACAAGTCAGTTCGCAAACATGATGCTTGTCCCTTACCGGCGGGTTCTCAATGGGTTGGCCTCGGATTTGAAAGCAACACACTTTCTGAAACAACTGTGGCTTTTTCGCTGCAACCATGATTTTGAGCCGGACGCGGCAACCATCATCTGTTTCTCTATCGAACAAAAAGACAGCTTTCAAGGTCCCCAGGTTCTTCGTTCTTCTGCGTGCGATTGAGTGTCTTAGTGTCTTTGTGTGTGTGTGCCAAGTAGTAGGGAACACCTTTTGTTTTTTGTTTTTTACTTCAGAAACCAAGCATTTAGCAGGGCTCCTTAAAAGATAAAACATGGCTTTTTCCATCAAAATAAAGGGACACCACCATTTACAAGGCAATGTTCAGGTGTATAATGTAAGGATCCCTGTTTAGCAACGCCCCCCCCCCCCCCAAAAGGCGACGCACTCCGCTCGTTGTCTCGTACTGTTTGCCGAGGCATCCGTCCTGGCATCGACACGCTGCTGGACAGCCACGTGGGGAACATCCCCTCCTTGACGCAGGCGGGGCCGCAGGCTTTGCAGCCGCCGGATCCGTGGCTTCGCCTGGGTGTGGGTGAAAAATAGGGCAACCCCAAAATGGGTTGCCCTGGGAAATGGAAAGGACTCAAATTCCTGCGGTGCAATTCCTGGTGTTTTTTTGTTTGACCCATACCCACCGGGCCGCAACCGGTCCTTCACTTGTGGGGGCCTTTGAGACCTCGAGTCAAGTCTTGGAAGCCATTGGACCTTGGAGGTGTCATGCTTGTGAGGATTTGAGTGCAAGGGAAAAGTCTGATGACTCCATGTTGCACAGGTAGGCTGATGGGAAGGGACCGAAGACCGAAATTGCCGAGCAGTTTGGCGAAGCTTGCCGAGCAGGGTGTATGATGAAATGTTGTGGTTGTGGGGTTGAAGCCTGCAGTAGCGTAAGAATTTGGCTTGTCCAATGAGCCTGGCTTAAGGCCAAAACAAGACCAAGCAGGGAGGCTGGTCCTAGTGGGAGGTTTGTGCAGCAGAGAACACTGTGAGATTTGAATCTTTCTTTTTGCAGGGTTTCCCACATTTCCCTTTTTGGCTTTAAACATCACCTTTTTGTACCGTTGAAAGTTGAAAGGGAACTCCCTTTCATGGGGTGGATGTTTAAAGGGGAATATCGGGAGCCCTGTTTCAGGCAAGCCTATCGGATTCTTGTGCTCAGTTGTTCAAATTCAAAGCGAATCGACCCTTTGACCTTGTTGGTTTATTCATTTTGGTCCATATTTAGTCATGGCCCCAGCAGGTTAACCTTTTAGTTCCGGGTCCCTTGCGCAACTGAGCGTGCTATAGAACGGCTATGGTCCAAATGTTGATACAACTGCTTCCTACCAAGAGACCCAGGTATGTTTTCGCTGCATTTCTCATGGGATTTGATATTTGAAGTGACACCATGGTGAGTGAGCGCATCACGTGGACTCAGAGCTGAGCGCACTGAGCTCCATGCGTCCCTGGGAACGTAGAAATATAACCACGACATCCGCTGTTTGGGGTCTCAGAAACGGAGCAGGACCAGGGCACTGTGTAGAGATTCCCGCTCAGGGTTGTGGGATCAAGGGGTTTTACCCCACTTCTGTGATACAAGTGGGAATCTCCCCCTGTATATGGGGTGTTAGTCTTTGGGAAGCCCTTTTTGTTGTATCACAGAAGTGGTCATTTCCCACAGCCCTGTTCCCACTTCTTGAGCCGAAGGTTTTCGCTCAAGTTGAGGTTTCTTTTCAGTGGGCAAGTTTCGGGAAGACCTGGGCCGAGCGATTTCCGCTTTTCTTTCCGCCTTCCGCCTGCAGAGATGTTGGTGGCCCTCAGGTGATTCCTTGCTACAACGAGACGGTGATCCTGAGCAAGCAGTTCCTCCAAGATGAGCCTTGGGTGCAAGAAGCACAGCGCCGTCAAGGGTCAATGCGCGGACCTTTCGACACGCTGGCCGAAAAGGGAGCCCTATCTGTGCGTTTGCATGCCCTGCAATATGGGTATGGGTCAAAATCAAACCATCAGGGGACCCATCAGGGGTCTTTGGTTCCATTAACCAGGGTTCCATTTTGGGTACACATTTCTGACCCACAGCCATATCAGACCATGACGTGCAGGCATTGATTCCCTCGCGGCCCCGGGCGTGCTTCCAACAGGAACGGAAGTGTCGGTTTTTCACCAAACCCCTGCTTGAGTTTGCATGTGTTGCTCCTCTTTGGAACTATGGCAACCTCTAGGTCCACAATCAGAGACGACTGTTGGAAGGCTATGCGACTGTGTGACATTTGACACTGGCCATTATTTGCATGAAGGACCTCGCCCAAAGAGTCCATATTCGGCTATTCTCCTGATCACTACCAATTGATGGCGGGCATAGTCTTCCAAACAAGGGTGAACGTGTCCTTTATAGCTAAAGCAAACTCAGTGTTTTTTTCAAAGCTCTGTCGTTGAACAAGCGCTAGCATCCTTTGAATACGGCATGTACGCCGTGGCTTTCCCATTGTATTTTCCCTTTGTCAACGCCACACCAGCAATATGAGTACAGTAGGGTGTGGAAGCATGAGGTCACCGGGAATATCATTTGCTGCACGATGTCAATGCAGTGGCTAGCCCAGCAATCATTTGGTCCTTTCGAGCGCGATAGCGGCATATTTGGTAGGCTATGTCATGTCAGGACTCTTTGGTTGGTTGAATTGGGCGCATTTGAATCTTTAACACCTTCGAAATTGCTCACGTGGCAAATGGTTTCACCGCCCAAAATGGAGCCATAGGTTATGACCCACGGCCACATGGATTTGGTTTCTTTAGGCAGCAGCTTGACAGCTTTGGAACCTTCTAAATTGACCCTAGCGCTGCTGGCCTCTGCCTCTCACCTCGAACTGTCTTGCGAACTGGCGACAACTTTTTTGGCCGCTACGGGTGTCATAATATGCGAATGATGAGATGACTGCAAGTGTCATAGTTTTCATCCTAGTGTTCACACTTTTCTGACATCTCAGCCTTTGCTTCCTCAAATGAGCCGTGTGTGCTGGCCGGCCACGCCCTCCAAGCAGTATGTCGCTTGACCGAGGAAGACGGGGTCAACACAAACCTGGGCTTCATCATCTCGCAGTTCCCCGAAGAGTCGCCCGGCAACTCTTGGGCAAAGCACTATACGGACCGCCAATTCATTAGATTTGGGTCAAAGCGAATCGGTCCGTTGACCTTTTTGATTTCCCTCTTTTTGGCAACCACTTTTAGTGGCCCCAAACGCTGATCACCTTTTATTTCTGGGTCCCTAAAGGGCAACTGAGGAAAATGTGAGTAATTGGTTTGCCCGTTCTGGACGCGCGCCGGAAGGTTGGAACCGCATGCTTCGGGTGGACATAGTTTCGGTTGTCATCATTGCGGAAGGAAACATGAGAGCCCAAAAGTCCTCCCACTCTTCTCTTGGCGGTTCCTATCGGTTCCTTAGCTTTTTGGCTCTTTTTAGTTGGTTTAGTGGTAGTTTCCATGTAACCCACCATTTCTATGATTTCAACCATTCTTTTCAACCATCTTTTTTTCTTCTTCTTTTTCCCCCCTTTTAAATACAGAATAAACATATATATATATATATATATGAAAAACAACAAATACGTCGTTTTCACTGGGTTTCTGGAGGTTTGCCAGCCAGGGGTCCTGGAAAGAATGGCGAAGGTGCCCTGAGAGCTCTCTATGACTTACCCATTGCAAGACAGTATAGATTGTAGTGGTTCTTTTTTCTGCCTGTTCCATTTTTGACGCTTAGGACGCAGGTCTCTAGTTGCTTTTGACTGTTGGGCCAGTGAGACTTTTGAGCCCAGCTGCGTGTGGCTCAAACTGAAAAAGCCGGGGTTATGCAGGTTTTAGTCTTTGGTTCCATTTACCAAGGTGCCATTTTGCAGGGGTCCCTATATTTCCCTTTTTGGTGGTTTTAAACACCACCTTTTTGGTCCATGAAAGGTGAGTATCCCTTGTTGGGGGTGATGTTTTAAGGGGAAATATAGGGAGCCCTGTTTTGGTACATGTTTGTGAGCCACGGCCAGCTCAGGTGGGAGTTCTTCTGCGAGAGGCATGGGTATACCGTGAAGGACCGGCCCGCAAGTGGTGAGACCGACGGGGGCCCTTCGAGCGAAGAAGTACATTTCCCCTTGACTGCTATTGGGTTGGATAATTAGACTTTTTTTTCCGGAAGTCAAGTTTTTCCACTAAACCCCCCAAAAGTTAAACTTTATGCAGGGGGGTCAACAGCAACCAAGTCCCTAGGATTCGGATGTGGAGCCTGTCAATTTCGCCCTGACATGCAGAGACTAGCTGAGGTGGCCAAATCCAGCTGACACTTTGGGGCTCGAACTGGTCGGCCATAGCCTGCTCCACAAATGCCAGGGGCTTCGTCTTCCCAGTTCTTCAGTGAAAGAAGCCTGTGTTACCTTTGTGTTCCACCTGGCCTCGAAGCTTGTAAGCAAAAAGCGCTTGAATTTCCCATATCACCGCAAACCTACGAAATGGGGGTGGATAGCGGTGGACTTGCTCGCATGAGCTTCAAGTTCCTTTCTGGAATGATCCGACCCCATCCTGGCTGTGCCTTGGTATGTTTGGGGTTTGAGGCTTCCCCTCTAAATCCCACCAAGTAGCAGCATAGTAGGTAGCGAAGGCAAATAGTTTCTGGGATTGTTATAAATAGTTTCAAATAGTTTCTCCTAAAAAACAGAACTCTGAAATAAACACGCCCATGTTGGTCCTAAGTCAAACCTGGTAAGAAGCTCATGTTTGGCTTCTGTGCGAACTTCGCGCTTGGCTCCGCTCGTTTTTTTTTTCTTTTTGTTTTTTTTTTTTTTTTCCGGCAGGACATGTACAAGGCCTTTCTGAGCCGGGACTCCCCGATGGACCCCACCTTGTGCATGGAGGCCTGGTTCGACCCTTTATCAGTCGCAAAACCACCGAGCAGTCGCAACAACCACAAACTTTGCATGGCAGCGCAAAGAACAAAAAACAGAGGCTGGCGCAAAAGAAGCACAACCAGCTAGCCTGTTTTTGAAGGGGAACCCAGTTTTGCAACTGCGTCCAGATCGAATGTAGCCGAAGAGCGGATAGCCCGATGTGATCAGTGGCTTATGTCAGCCTATCAACAACCTTGTTTCAGGTGAACGACAAATCAGTGTGGACCTCACACGGCTACTGCTGCTACTACTACAGCTACTACTACTACTGCTACTACTACTGCTACTACTATTGCTGCTACTACCACTACTACTGCTACTACTACTACTGCTGCCGTTTGGCCCTTTTCATCCTTGGTGTCGAAAGCTCCCGCGTCACCCCTAATGGGTGCCCCTTTGAAACCAAACACCGGCCTTAACTGACGGCAGGATTGTCATGCTTGTATTCCCTGGCAGCTTATGCTAGTATTTGTTGCTTTGGAGTGTCTGGGGTGGTGCGCATCATGCAAGGTTTCAGGGTAATGGGCATGGTAGCCCTGTCATTTTGCTGAAACGACAGAGCAGGTTCCTTGAATGGCTTGTTGTTTGGTCAAGCAGCCAAAATGTGTTTGCATGTCTGGAGAGTTGCTCATTGATTATTCTGTGCAGGTCACCTTGCCTGATCCAAGGTGTTTGGACATTTGTTGAAAGAGAAGCATGTGTGGTACGAGACTGTCAACAATTCCGTATAATCCCCTCATCCTGCGGAAAGTGTCAACACTTAGAGTCTGTTTACACCGGCAGCTATCCTCCTGGTCGCGTATTGCCAGGGCAATCTGGCTTTGCTGAAGACTCGTCTATAAATAGCCAATCTCATGGTGCTGTGAAGACCGAACTGCACCGGCAATGGCGTTGTTTCGATGATTTTCGTGATCAGTCGGGATCGTTGTCGCATGTCATTTGCACTCCATGTGATTTAAACTATGCAGTCCATTGATGATAGGGGCTTGGAATCTGCGAAGTTTCCCCTTGCGTTGCTCAACGGGCTTGACCCGTCCGGAAGCAGGTCATGGGAGTGCCCAGATGGCCTTCCTGGATGGACAGTCACAAAGAATCCGGTGCACTCCCATGTTATGATTTGCAGGTTGTGTATGAGTGTGTACAGACAAGAGGGCACAAGGGAAACTCGTGGCCATGGCATTGTCGCACGTTTTGATTTGCGGTTGGTTTCCTACCAGGCCCGGTCAGCAGTCTGACTGCTTCCTTCTGCTTCGGTTGCGCGGTTGACCGCATTTCGATCGCCAGGTGCGCATGTGGGCATCTATGCGGTCTCAGACAGTCGCAAGGAGACCGGAGACTCATGCGAACTCCAGCAAAGGAATGGACTGGGTCCCGAGGCAACTAGGGAAAAGCACATTGCCTATCCATGTCGCATATGAAACACCGGACACCGGGCGGGAATTCACGTGCTGAACACGACGGGCTATGCGACTTGTGGGATTTGCAATGCCTTGGAGTTTTCTGCTGTGCCAATGCACAAAAGCAACGGATGGAGCCCTCCACCCTGCAAGCTCGAACGCATGTCCCCCTCTTTCGCACGTTACGCAAGCAAGAGGTTAAAGCAACCATCAAGAGACCCCCTCTCTCTCTCTCTCGGGGTCTGAGGATCTTCACTGGCTTGTAAGAGCTTGGAAGTGAGCACGGGCCATGGTTCAGACAAGATTCTTTCTTCGAATTGCCTGCTGGAAGCCCATCAGGCATGGGATTCAGACGGGGCCAGTTGAATAGACGTTTCCGGGTTGATGCACGGAGAAGTATCTTGCGTTTGGCTGATCAATCGGTGCACTGATGTGATTTAGTAGTCAGACTTGTCAGACAACAAACTGAAAGAGAGAGGTGCTGGACAGCTTTGGCCTGTCGATTTGTGTCGCTTATGGGACCTCTCCCCCACTCTGCACTCAAACATATTCGATTCGTTGGAGGGGCCGAATCCGTTTCGTAGGGCAACCCAGTTGCCCATTGGGCTGCTTCCCCTTTCCTTTTCCCGTTTTTTTCCCCCCCCCTTTAAAGTCAACCAACTATTTCCGTTTTCCCCCCCCCCCCTTTAACTTTAAAGTCAACCAACCAAAATCCGATGCCCTTTTCCCATGGCCACTGGGCGCGTGAGGTAAGCCCCCCGAAACCCCGGGCGCCTTTTCGGAGGACCGTGGTGGGGGCAATGCAGTACCAGGAGGCCGCCGAGATGGGCCCCAAGATGCGAAGCTCGGAGTCTGGAGGATCCGAGTCAGAGGTAAAAAACAACAGTAGGTGCACCACCCATTTTAGTCCATTTTAGTGGGGATTGGGATGTTCACTGGGGGTGCGATGGGTATGGGTCAAAATGAAGCCACCAGGAATTGGACCGCAGGTTGACTCGTCCATGTTTCCATTTGCTGGGGTTCCAATTTTGGGTACTTATTTTTGACCCACAGCCAGATCATCTCCTTAAAAGAGAAATTACTGAGTCGTTCAGCGCAAATTAATCCAAGGTTAACATCATACCAACAAGAGGAACCCTCAAAATAACAAAGACCATTCCCTTAAGAGAGGAACCACTCACTCGTACGGCCCGAATTGATCCGAACATGAAGCAACATGCTGCTTAGATTCAGTATCAACCTCGTGGAAAAGCACAAGGGCGGGGAGGGAAGATGATTTGGGACGCACTGGTTCGGAGCAAAACCACAAGCCTGGCTCGTTTTTGGTTTTTTTTGCCGCTAACAGAAGCAAGCCACAACCACAGCATAACTACGCTCAACCTTTTGGTTCTCACCAGGCCAACACAACGTGCCACTTCCCAACTATCCAGTGGCGTCCTTTGCTTGAGTTGACTGGCTTTTTGTCCGATGCCTTTTGAATCAACTGGCAACTTACCAACACTTTTTGTACCTTTCGGGCCAAGCCAGAAAGGCTTAGGTTTTGAGGGATTCTCCGAACACTCTCATTCCCTTGGGGTTGTCAGACTACACAAATCTAGCAACGTTGTTTTGCTGTGGCGACCTCATATCCTCCTCAGATCTTCGGTTGCTTATATTTTTCCCAGCTGGGGGCTTCGGACTCCCAATCATTCTTGCAGTACAACAAAAAGGGGGGTGCCGATCAAAGTGGGGCACCGACCGCTTTGCTCGGTTTCTGTTTGAAGGGAGACAATATTTTTTCACGAGCGGACCTGCGGCATGCGCAAAAGCATGCAAGTCCACCTGAGAAGGCTGATGGACAAATTCCTGCAGCGTAGTTCGGGCCACCCGCCATGAGGTTTCCAGGCTCGATTCGGCTCTTAGCATGGCAACCATGACCTCTGGTCCTCTTGGAGGTTGTGGCTGAAAAGCCTGAAGAAATGCCGAAGTGTTCGTATTGTAGGTTTCTACTTCCCAATTTGTGAACCATGAGGACCATCCCAAGCCCAGGCCCGGCCCAAAGGATTTTGGCGTTTTGAGCCCATAGTTCGTGGGATGGAAGGAGTCGAACGGCTCTTTTTGACAAACCGGGTTCTCAAACTGGTGATTGTCCATTCTTTTTCCGGTAAAAGGGGGACACCCACAGGAACAACTCTTTGTGGGTTCTCCAAATGGTGGTTTTCCTATCTTTCTGGTAAAAGGGGGGAAACCCAGCAAAACAAAACATGTTCCCTTTTGGGGGTACGAAGAAACCCCGTGGTCCCTGGGCCATCCCTTGTCCGGACCACATTTGCAGGCATCAGCTTGCTGCCAGGGTGCTGACCTGGGGACAGCCGCGCGGGGACTGCTCATGCGGTGCGACCAAGCCGCGGCGAAGCGTCAAGCACACGTGGTGCTGGAGCACGGATGCGCGATGAAATGCTCTTGCGGGCAGCAGTAACCGACGGGTCTGGAGATCATGAACGCGACAAGAGTCAGCGCAATGTTGGTTGTTACAGGGAAACTTGAAGCTCACTTCCTGAGTTTGTGGACTTTATCCATTCTAGTGCAAAAACAACAGATTTGGACTTGTTTTGACCAATCCACGCAGGAAGTGAGAAAGGAACACAGTGGCCTGCTTTTGGCAAAGGGGTTTCCCAGAGAGCTTCTTTTTTTGGTACGGGGAAACCCACAGAAAAGCCACCCGTGTTTATTCTTAGTTGTTCAAAGCCGACCTTTTGACCATTTGGTGTTCCCATGTTGGCAACCATATTTAGTGGCCCCAAACGGTGACGGTGATCACCTTTGAGTTCCAGGTCCCTAAGCAGCAACTGAGCATTCAAACCTTGGTGGTTCCCAGCCATCTCCTTAGCTTTTTGGATCTTTTTAGTTGGTTTAGTGGTAGTTTCCATTTGACCCACTAAAAGTTATTCACTTTTAGCGGGGGATCTGAAAACGGGCAGCCCAGAAACGTCCACCTGCGTTTTGCCAGGTGGTGGCTTTGCTGCCCAGCGTGCAGGGCTCCGAACAGCCGGGGCAGGCGGAATTCTTGCCGGCGGAATCCATGCGGACAAGGGGTCTCGTGTTATTTTTGGGGGCAACCTTCCAAAATGCCGGTATCATGTTGGCTTCCAAATGGGCCTGAACAGTTTTACCTCTTGTTTTTAGTGGAGAGCAGTAGACAAATAACACTGCCAGAAATACACATAGTCATAATGGTTGCATAGCTGTCGTGTCATAGTTTTTGTGTTTTCCAGAAGCAAGCACTAGCATTGTGTAGGGATTTTACACTTGTGTATTCCTTTGTCCACTGTTGGAATTGCACCATATTCATGTTTGCAGGGTTTTGCAGTTTTTGGTGTATTGTTCCATCGTACTAGGTCCACCAAATGAAAACAGCCTAGGTCTGTTTTTTTTTTGGGGGGATTACCATATATATATAAGTATGTATGGTACCCCCCCCCCATTATATACACATATTTATGTATTATGCATCCACATGCACATGTGTTGTAGGCTGAGTCATTCCACTCGAGCTCCAGGCACTGGAGCATTGCGTGGAGCTGGTTCTGGCGCATCAGACCTACGGCAGCAAGGCCTTCGAAACGGATCGGAACGGGGCAGATGTCGGTCGGTTGGTTTCGTTGGTTTCGTTGAATGGTTGGTTTGTTGGTTGGTTGGTTTTGTTGGTTTTGTTGGTTTTGTTGGTTTTGTTGGTTGGTTGGTTGGTTGGTTGGCTTGGTTGGTTTCGTTGAACTGTTTGCTTGCCTTTTTGTTTGCTTGCCTGGTTGCGCGCCTGTTTGTTGTTTTCGGCTCCTTTGCTTCGTTGGCTTTTCGCCGGCTCGGCGGCTTTCACCTGGGGCTCCCGAGGCCTGGTGCCTTCCTCGGTTTCAGGCGCACGCTGTTGGTGAAATTTCCAGGTTGGACCAACTCAAAAGGAGCAAAGTCGGCGTCAGGACTCCTGAGGTGTTCCCCTTCCCGGACTTTAAAAACTTCTTGGGTTTGGACGGTTTTCGTGGCAAGTTAGAACATATGAAGCGTTTGGTTGTTTGTTTTTGGGCCAACTCACTCCGTCGGAAGTGAGTCGACCGACAGGCAGGGACCAAGGAGAATGACGAAGCCGTGCGGCCTGGAGCCCTGGTTTACTGACCTGACCCGTGCTGTCAGACGGGGCGTGTTTGGAGTTGGTACGCGTTTTTTTGGGGGTGGGGCTTCAAGAGAAACCGAAAGGAACACAACATTTTGAGGGGGTTCCCCTAAAAAAGGACACCCGCACTGCGTCTTGTTTTCAGTTGGCACCCTTTTCGGGGAAGGCTTTTCGGGGAAGGTTTGAATATGATTGAATAGTCTGACCATTGTTTAGGCTTAGGGGAGCTTCCCTTTGTCCCGCAGCTGGCAGCTTGGGGTTCGACACCCACAGGAGCTCTGGGGTTGCAGCAAGCACTTGCGCTGGGATGTTTCGACATGTTCGCTGAATATGGACCAGAATCAGAGTCGCGCAAAAGCTGAGGTAGTAAAGGTACGAACATATCTGCTTAGTCTTGGAGGAAATGGTATTACAACTCATGCCAGTGGGTTTGCCAGGAAACATGCACTGTATGCCGTGCACAAATGTAACATGATTCCCCTTCTGAATTCGTTTGAGGATTCGTTTTGGAAGAGTTGTCTGTGTTTGTTGTTGGCGCGGAGGAGATAGAGGCTTTTTCTGGAACGTTCTCGAACGTCCCAGCGGTTGGGTGTATTGCACTGGGCTTCACTCCGGTCTGCTTTGTGGTTGGCTGCCTGAAAGTACCACTCATTTTTGACATACAGTCCTGGGTCAAAATCGGGCCACAAGACCAGCCCCTTGGAATTGTTTCATGATCGGGAACCAAAATGGAATCATTGCACATGTGCAGGTGTGGGCGCTATGCAAGGCCCCATACCCAAGCAAACCAATTTGGAGATCGTTTCGCTGCGCAGTCGGCAAGTGTTTGATGTGTCGTTTTGGGTTCTGTTCATTTTTGGAAGGGGGCTGCAAAGAAACCCAGGGTTTTGCAAGCCCATACCAAGGGTTCGGAAATTTCAATGAAACCAAGGCCCATACCAAGGGTTCTTTCAGCTCATTCCCCCGGCTGTTGCTGGCCGCAGGTACTTGCTGGCCAAGTACCGGGACCGGTGCTTCTACCTGGTCTTCGACTTCGACCAGGAGAAGAGCAAGCCGGCCCTGGTGACGGCCGTGAACAGCTTCGTCAAGGAGAAGTGCCCCTCCCCTTTTTTCCTCCCTGAGGGGAGAAACGAGGGCTTTCCCTGCCATGTGGATGGACATAATATGACCTAGGTCTCCCAGTAGTGCCCTTTTACCCTGTTTTGGGGGAGGGTTCCCCTACTAAAATAGACTACACAAAAAATGGTACGCTTATTCTAACCTCTCTACTGGAGGACCTGGTGACACAATCCTGAATCAAATTGAATCCATGGCATGGGCAACCATTGGTGGTATTTACAGGGCAATCGAATCATTCCAGGGTTTTCAAGGTCGTGCAGGAGTTCGGCCATACACAGCAGGTGTCCTTTTTAGGTTTGGATAGAAATAGATGACACTGGTTTAGATTGGTTTCAGGTTGAAAAGGTTGTCTATGTGTCCTGCCCTACGGAGAAACGAGGCTTTGAGTGTGCAAAACCACGCTGATCAAACATTTTTTTTAAGGCATTGGACTTGGTAAGTGCAGTAAGCTTCGTTATAACCCACTTACCATGGATATAAGTCTCATAAGCGGATTATATGCAGGCGTACTAACCACTTCTTTGACGTACCCGATCGCCCTTCAGACTTAACATGTTTGGCCCATATGTGGTTTGGTCAAACAATCCAGTGGTGTGTGGTCCATTTCAAAGGGGCATGAAGGTACTCGCTAAGTTTCCTGCAAAACCACGGGGAGTCCCGTGTCTCCTTCGGGAGACAACGCTATTTTGACCTTGGCTGGATGTGTGACCTCAATCTTAAAGCCACAAGGCTAGTTATGAGACGGCACGGCAATTGGCCTACCACTTGCTCCGTCCTGCAGTTTGCCCAATTTCTGTGGCATAGTATGACAATGATGTTGGCGACGATAGCGAATTAAGAGAATTCGCATCATTGACAATATATAGTCCTCCGAACAACATAAATGCAAATGGCCGTGGCTCAAAAAACCGGAATTCCAAAATGGGTTGCCCGATCGGTAAGTGGAAACATGGACCAAAACCTGCGGTTTGCCCCTCCTGTTTAATTTTGAGCCACAGCCACACCAGCAGTAGCATAGCGGGGCTCCGACAACATGTGCAGCGCATGCTTGCCTCAGATAGACTTATGGCCAACGCGCGCGGGCGGGTTGGCGGGGACAGGGGGGACACGTTTGAGTTGGCGCACGGGGATTGTCACTCACGAAGAAAACAAGGGAACCTCAAAGAAACCTACGCGTGGCGGTTCTATCGATGGCCCAACAAAGTGTGCGCTGCAAGTTAGGCAAGTTGTGTATTTGCGACGCTTGCAAGTCTGCTTCTTGGCAATTTTGGGCACAGCAAGCTACCGCTGTGCACCTTTTTGGACCTGCGGTCCGCATTTCTCGCTCATTTGCAGCGTTTGGCCGCTGAAAAGGCGGCTGGCCCAGCCACGAGTTGAGCAGATGCGCACCAGCGGTCCAGGGTTCGATGTGAACATTCCACAGATCATGATCCACAATGTTAACCCCGGATTAATAACCCCCTGGTTGATTAATAGGGGTCTCCCCTTTTCGTGGGGATTCAGACCACTTTTGGGGGGAACACCCCCCTAATAAAAAGGCCGGGTTTCTTAATCCTGGGTCAACATTAGACGACCGGACTCCGGAGTGGCCGGGAAACGCTGAAATTTGAAGCCTATACAGCATACCCGAACACCTGCTTGCATGCTGAAGCAAGCGGAATTGCAGGCTGTTTCGTGTTCGGGTTTCTAGCATTTTCTCAATGACCTGAGCTTGCAAGCTGCAGCTGTTCTAGCCAGAGCTTGGGCAGGAACAAGCTATACACATGGTCTCTGATGAAGTCTCGAACTCTTTTGGGTGTTCAGCGGCTCACTGTGGCATTTGAAGCAGGCACTTGAAGGGTGCACTGGCCTAGACACCTGTACTTGCTGGTTCGATAGGCAGGGAATGAGAATTGGAATGATTCCGAGAAAAGCCACGGACTCAGTCATTCCCTACCTATCGCACCAGCAAGTATATGTTTTGTTTGGTTATCCTGTTACTCAGAATGTGGACTAAAAGAGAAACTGGCCTGCGCAGCTGTATTCCCGAAAGCATGGCGAAGGGTTCTTCCGCTGGGTTCACTTGAGTTGTTCTCATGAGAGTCATTACAAGGTGTCATTGCAAGGTTCACTTGAGTTGTTCTCATGAGAGAGTCATTGCAAGGAGTCATTGCAAGGAGTCATTGCAAGGAGTCATTGCAAGGAGTCATTGCAAGGAGTCATGCAAGGAGTCATTGCAAGGAGTCAAGGAGTCATTGCAAGGAGTCATTGCAAGGAGTCATTGCAAGGAGTCATTGCAAGGAGTCATTGCAAGGAGTCATTGCAAGGAGTCATTGCAAGGAGTCATTGCAAGGAGTCATTGCAAGGAGTCATTGCAAGGAGTCATTGCAAGGAGTCATTGCAAGGAGTCATTGCAAGGAGTCATTGCAAGGAGTCATTGCAAGGAGTCATTGCAAGGAGTCATTGCAAGGAGTCATGGCAAGGATTGCAACTTGCACTTGACTCCTTGCACTTGCAACTTGCACTTGACTCCTTGCACTTGCAACTTGCACTTGACTCCATGCACTTGCAACTTGCACTTGACTCCATGCACTTGGCTCCTTGCACTTGGCTCCTTGCACTTGCAACTTGCACTTAACTCCGTGCACTTGCGACTTGCACTTGACTCCATGCACTTGGCTCCTTGCAACTTGCAATGGCTCTCATGACTCCTTGCAATGACTCCTTGCAATGACTCCTTGCAATGACTCCTTGCAATGACTCCTTGCAATGACTCCTTGCAATGACTCCTTGCAATGACTCCTTGCCATGACTCCTTGCAATGACTCCTTGCAATGACTCCTTGCAATGACTCCTTGCAATGACTCCTTGAAACAAGCAAGGAGTCAAGTGCAAGTGCAAGTGCAAGTTGCAAGTGCAAGGAGTCAAGTGCAATTGACTTGCGAGGAGTTAAAATCTCTTCTTAGGGCGGCACTACCCTCCGGGGATCGGCGTGGTCGAGGTGCAAAAACCCATGGTTTTTTGCGATTTCTAAAGTCTCCTCGCGCGACCCTCTGCGGGGATCGGCGTGGTCGAGGTGCAAAAACCCATGGTTTTTTGGTTTTTCTGCGATTTCTGCCTGCTCGCGCGACCCTCTGCGGGGATCGGCGTGGTCGAGGTGCAAAAACCCATGGTTTTTTGCGATTTCTGCGGTGCTCGCGCAACCCTCTGCGGGAATCGGCGTGGTGGAGGTGCAAAAACTCGAGGTTTTTGCGACTTTTGTTGTTCGAACTGGTCTTCGGGAGTTGTCTCGTGGTTCGCGCGCCTGCTCCCGGAACCGGCGGGTCGCGGGTTCGATTCCTCCCTGGTCCGCGGGCGGGCGTCGCAAGATGCAACTTGCATTTTAAAGCAACTTGCGCAGAGCAACTTGCGCAGAGCAAGTTGCACAGAGCAACTTGCGCAGACCAACTTGCACCGACCAGTTTGCGGAGAGCGCCTTGCCTAGAGCAACTTGCGCAGAGCAACTTACGCAGAGCAACTTGCACAGAGCAACTTGCACAGAGCAGCTTGCACAGAGCAACTTGCAGGGAGCGCAATTTGCACAGAGCAACTTGCAGGGAGCCACTTGCAGGGACCAACTTGCCGGAGCAACTTGCGCGGAGCAACTTGCGCAGAGCAACTTGCACAGTGCAACTTGCGTAGAGCAACTTGCGCAGACCAACTTGCACCGACCAGTTTGCGCAGAGCACCTTGCCTGGTGCTGTCTCGCGCTTGCTTCACGAATGCTTCGTGTAGGGAAAAAGAACGCATCCTGCAGCGTTGGGCCGACCTCGCTTGCGATGTTCTGCTTTCGGGCCAACCGTGGTCTAGTTTTTTTGATTGCAGTGTGGACTAAAAGAGAAACCGGCCTGCACCATTGAATAGTTAATCGGAGTGACTCGACGATCCTCCGAAGCAATGGGCGGAAACGGTCGAAACCGCCAGGTACCGCTTTGATCGGCCAGTGCGCTATGCGTGTCGGCCTCAGTGGATCAGAGGTGTACGAAAATTCGCTAACGCACGGGTACACATGAGGAAACCTAGGTCCCCCAGCTAGGTGCCAACTTTTCCCGTTTCTTTTTTGGTTGGGAGGGTTCCGAACCCTACTAAAGTAGACTAAATGTGCCAGGCTGTACCAGATTCTCCCAGGAATGAGACAGGGATTCCAGTGAGGGCCATAGCCCTTGCTGGAATTTGGGTCCCGGCGTTCCGCCATCAAAGCATTGCGATCCTGTAACAACAGGTCCCGTTACATCTAGGGGGAAACAGGGGGGGTATACCCTCCTTGCAACCCCTGGCTTCCATGATTCTTAAGAGGGTACTTGGAAAGACCAGCGTGCAGATTCACCCTGTTTGGGGTTAACTTAAACGAAAGCCATCAGGAAAGCCACCCATTCTTTTGTGCGGGTTGGGGGCCCATATATGCGTGCAAAAATTATCACGCCTTCGCGTCAAAACCCCACCCAAAAAGACCCAGGAGCGTGCTGGCGAAGCTGCGTCCCAACTTTGCGGCAGACCTGAGCAAGGAAGTGCCGGAGAACGCCCTGCAGCTGGTAGAGGTGCTGCCCAGGCGCCCGAACGTTCTTTCCCCAGTTTGTAGCAAACAACAAAAATCTGCGGTCAGAATGGTTGAATACTGGGGCCGCCCCCCCCCCACCGCCTGCATGTGTATGAGCCAAAATCTGCGGTCTGGATCCGAACAGCTTGAGCCACGTCCCCAAATGGGTGCGGACTGGGTTCATGGCCACTCTGCTAAGTCTTTGGATGAACAAGCCTCTCTCCGGATCCATTAGAGGCGTGCTCCTTCTTCAGGTGGACGCGCTTCCTTGAGACAGCCCGCATGTCGCATGCATGAGGGTCGTGAAGGGTTGCTCCCTGGGCTTGGGAAGGGCAACTACCTCGAGGTTTCGACAGGTCAGATGGATTTGAGGGAATTCGGCGGGGTTTGGCAGGGTTTGTAGATTCACCCCCCCCTCAGGCCATTGTTTGCGTTGGAGCCACTTTTTCAACACAACTCAGAGACTCACGGTGATGGAGGCTTCTAGAGGCACAGGCAAGACGAGTTTCAAACTTACACAGATGCCTTTGATAAGTATTGCCGGCCTCGTCTAACTTCAGGTTTTTTTTTCCGCGTGCATGTGCATGTGCATGTGCATGTGCGTCTGCGTGTGCGTGTGCGTGTGCGTGTGCGTGTGCGTGTGCGGGTGCGGGTGCGGGTGCGGGTGCGCGCGCGCGCGTGCGTGCGTGCGTGCGTGCGTGCGTGCTGCCTGCCTGCCTGCCTGCCTGCCTGCCTGCGTGCCTGCGTGCCTGCGTGCCTGCGTGCCTGCGTGCCTGCGTGCCTGCGTGCCTGCGTGCCTGCGTGCCTGCGTGCCTGCGTGCCTGCGTGCCTGCGTGCCTGCGTGCCTGCGTGCCTGCGTGCCTGCGTGCCTGCGTGCCTGCGTGCCTGCGTGCCTGCGTGCCTGCGTGCCTGCGTGCGTGCGTGCGTGCGTGCGTGCGTGCGTGCGTGCCTGCGTGCGTGCGTGCGTGCGTGGGTGGGTGGGTGTGTGTGTGTGTGTGTGTGTGTGGGTGGGTGCGTGCGTGCGTGCGTGCGTGCGCGCGCGCGCGCGTGCGTGCTTGCGTTCGTGCGTTCGTGCGTGCGTGCGTGCGTGCGTGCGTGCGTGCGTGCGTGGGTGTGTGTGTGTGTGTGTGTGTGTGTGTCAGGGTGTGTGAGGGTGTTGGGTGTAGGCGCACCCAATTTCACCTTGATTTCGTTGTCCACATTGACATCGAGTTTTTAGTAGCCGTTTCCGCCGCCACACGGTTGCCAGTCTTTGCAATGGGGAGGTTGCCATTATGCTTCTTCCGGTTGTATCCCAATTTTGCGCCCTCCGTGCGTGGAAAGGTTTGGGGATTTGCTCATGTGGGTCCTCCAGCTAACGAATTGTGTGGAGTTTCGGTGAATTTCTAGCAGGTGTTTTCCGCTGCTGGTGGGAACGCCGGGATTTATGACGCAAGGCAGGGGACAGAGTCTGCCTGAAAGAGCTGCCAAGAAGAAATCATGATGCCTTCAGTTTTTTGTTTTTTTTGGGGGGGACAATGTTGGACCTTCTAGCCAGCCGACACTTACCGTTTCTTCTGTGGGATTCCGCTTCCATATGCGAGCCTTTTCAAAGAGATGCAGCCTGATGCAACTAAGCAGGGAGAGGTAGGGGGCAGGAGAGTGGGTGCGAGGGACTCATGGGGAAAACAGTTTTCAACGGGGCTCGCCTTTGGGAAGCCTTTTGATGATGGATTGGAAGACACTCCGGCATGAAGGGCTTCGGAAGAGAAGCAGGCTGTTCAATCGATTTAAGGCTTCTTGAGTGATTCAACCCCTTGCTGGAGTTTGTACCCTCCCACCAATTGACATGGAACCTGACAGGGACCCGTTCCCTTGAAAGGGAAAACGGTCTTCTGGGAGTGTACTGACGCCTGAACTGGTCGTTTCTGAAAATTGACGGCTGCATTCCTGGGCTCTTGACATTGGCCCAAAGCTGCGAACCTCAACAGACCCTGGTCCTCTTTGAAGGGAGCAAGAGGCCGTTCAAGCGGAAGTGATCTAAAGTACTTGAGCACGTGGCAAAGCCAAGCTGCTCCGAACGTTGGAGTTTTTTTGTTGTACTTCTCAACACAGACAAAACTCGTTTTGGATGGTGTTTAAAGGAAAACCGAAAAGGGACAGCCGGCCTTTTCTTCGGGCCGTTTTTTTTCTTCGTTGAACTGGTTCTTGGTCGGGTTCCTCGTTTCCAGCGCTCTGTTTAGCTTCCCCACCACGCGGTGCACACATGAAACACGATGCGGCAGGCAAGGCCGGCAATCAGCTGGGCGCTTTGCGCTTCTCCAAGGGTCACGTGCTGCAGATGATGGACGTGACTCGATGAGGAAGTGCACTGTGGGTGGACGAAATCCTGCACCACTTTGAAACCATAGCAAACCATTGTTTGTTGGTATTTACAGGGAAGCATCACCCCAGGGATTTTTTAGGTGGTGCAGGATTTTGTGAATCCACAGTATGAAGTGCTATGTGGGTGTGTGTGGTTTTTGGTGGGTCCCCTGTTGGTCGCTTTTTGAAGGGAAATCGAAGGGAAGACACGATTTTGGTGTGTGCCTTGTGTGTTGAGGGTACCCTGTTTACCTTGTGTAGTTCAAATTGGAGCACCAACCAAAGTGTGGCCGAGTGGGGGGTTGTTGGAAGCATATGGGTTTGACAGCCCTTGACCTGAGAGGAACAGATTTGGCTATAGCCACGGCCCCCTTGAAAGGACAGCAGGATGGCAAGAAACAGTATTTATGTATTATATTGTTGACCTTGTTTGGGTGACATACTAAGTCAGGTGCAACACAACTTAGGAACAGGCCCCAAAACGAGGTGGGGCCATGACATATAGGTGGTTGAGATCACTAACGCATGCGGTGTTGGAAAACGTCCATGTAGCAAATCACGTAGGCCTTGGCTCAACGGGGGGGGGGGGTTCTCAAGATAGGAGCTCCCCTTTTTCGGATGGGTTGTTTAAGGGGCCAGAAGGAATCCACCCGGAGGATTCCCCAATCTTGAGAAACACTCAATATGTATGTTGCAAGCAACCCCCCCAACAGCTGCCTGGCCCGAGCACTTCGCGGACATCTTTGTGGCCAGTTGGGGTTTCCGCCATGGCATTTTGGGTCAGGCAAGTTGACGTGAGGCGAGCTGCCAGCTTGAGATCCATAGCGCGACTTTGGTGGGATCAACAGGACTGAATCATCACATCCTTTTTCAGATCACCATTGACACCTTGGTAGCTCCCAGTTATCCCCCTAGCTTTTTAGGTTTTTAGGGTTTAGTGGTGGCCCCCACTAAAAGTTAAACTTTTCGCAGGGGATCTGAGGCGAGCCCTCAGGCTGAAACCGGCCTCAACCAGTTTCCCTGGGGGTGGAGGCAAATCGCGTAAGACAAGCGCCCCTTTTCTCGCAACACCGAGGCCAACATGGGCGCCTTCCTGGGAGAAGCCAGCAAGGCAACGAGTCCCGCTTGAGAGCCACCTTCGTAAGGGCGAGTCCCAGCCAGAAATAGGTGCGGATATCCGCCTTTAAAAAAGGAAACCTCGCATGGGTTTGGGTAGACCATTTTAGCACCAGGTTTTGACTGTGACTCACATGAAACCAGCCTTGAGTCCAGAGGTGGATTCTCAACAGAGCCCCTTTGCATCGCACACTGCATCAGAGGGTCCGCTGCCGACTGGTTGGGTGAAAAGAATGTAAACCCAACAAAGGATGATTGCCAGTGAGGGTTGGAACGATTCCCACCCTTACCAGGACTTGAATGAACCTCATGCAATGCCAAGGAGATTGCAGGTTGCCAAACCTTGCTGGGAACTGGTGCTCCATGTTTTGGGGGCAAGGGTTTGTGACACATGCAAAGCGGGGTGCAGGTTTCTTTTTGGGAGCTCCCTAATACATTTCGTTGGAGCCTCCACACCATGCCCACGCCCTTGAAATCGAAGTAGAACAAATTCGTGATGCGATCATTTGGGGGGATTTGGTGAAGAGTGACAGGAGACCCGAAGTTTGTCATGAGCGCATGCTTGGCACCAGACGCGAGGAACGGCTGTCTATATTTTTGAGATGTTGCAGGTAGGTGGACTGGTATCGAAGTTACTCAAGGACTTTGACACGGCGGTGATGGCCCCTGAAGCCAGAAACGATGGCCACGCGGCTTAAATCTTTCCTCCTGACAGAAGGCGCCTGAGTGGCAGGGGGCCATGTGAGTCACAATCAAAACCGATCGGTACAAAAATGGTGAACCCAGAACTATGTAAGGAATTGGAAAGGCGGCCGCAACTGTTTCCGGCTGGGACTGCTCCTTGCTAACCTTCATCTACCCAGGTTTGGATTGTGGCTCATGGGGGAGAGAACGTGCTTGAAATTGCCCCAGCCAGGTGCCCTTTATCCTTCGGCGGTTCCAGCCGCACTGGGCAGACAGGCGGCGCGAGCCGAGCGAGGTAGAAGGCTGTTCTTTACCCTCTCTCCAATGGAGGCTGACAGGGTTTGGAACACTACTGTTTACCTACCCTCCGAAAGGGGGTAGGTTTTCAGAAAACGTTAAAGCTCCGTTGTTGCAAGCGTTTGACCTTTGGATGTTTCAAGTATGCAACCCGTGCAGGTTGCTGCAAGCCCCAGGCTGTCAGATGCGAGACGCCTTATGTTCACTCATATCCTTGGGCAAGACTTCCTGCTGGCAGCTCGAGTTGGCAAGCGATGGGTTCTCTTGTTCCCTTTGAGCAGCCCTGAGAAAGGGCACCTTGTAGCCGGTATCACATGGGTGTGTCTTGTTGTAAGGGACCCACAAAATGCGGGTGCTCCTCTTGGTTTCCCATTCAACACCTGGTTTCCCTTCAACACCATCCAGAAAAGGGCTACCCTCAGACAAAGACACGTGTTCAATTCTCATAACAATGGTACCATTTTGGTAGATAAATTCAGCACCCATTTTAGAACCTATTTTAGTGGTTGGATTGAATCGGATGCTCACTGGGGGTACGATTTGGATTTTGACCCATGGCCACATGGGCAACGCTCATAACCCGAGTGGTCCTTGTTGATCTCCTTCCATTTCAAGCAACATGTCGAAGCCGGTCAAGCAACATGTGTCCCACTCGTTTTCATAGACGGAAGCCGGGTGTAAGCCCCGGATATCGCAGGACCACGGTCCGTGCCCGGATCATCGGCTTCCGTGCGACTTGGCAGACCCAGGATTAGTAGACCCGTCCCATTAGGGCGGTGAAAACCCTCCCAAAGTGGTCTGATTTTTCACCAAAAGGGGACACCCCCCAATCAAAATCAACAAGGGGTGTATTAATCCGGGGTTAACATTGAGTTGTCAGCTGTTGGGGCGACAAAAGGAGGATATGGGTCAACATATTTCACCAGGGCTACGCGGGTCTTAGTCCATGTTACCACTTACAGGCTTCAATTTTGGGTGCCTATTTTGGACCCACAGCCGGGAAGCTGTAGTGATCGTAGGCCTGGTGAACTAACCCGCAAAAGCCAGGGTTATCAGTCTCCGTTCAGTGGGTTATTTCACCAGGTGAAAAAAAACAAAACACTTACCATCCTGATCGCCCCTTTAAGTACTCCACCCACCACTCCCCTTCCAATCACTGTTTTTTGACATTTCTTTTGAGAGCTCCCATGTTGGAGTTTTGCTGTGTGCATGGTATCTTAACCACAAGCGGCATATTCTGTTGGTCGCTCAGTGGTGTTTTGAGGTCCTTGGCACAGGGAGTTGCCCGTTTAGCAAGGCAGGCACGACATGCTTGGAAGGAAACCCAGAGGAGGTCATTCCGCGTATGTTTCACGGCTATTTGGTAACGGACCTTTGGAGTTGTACCCTTTTTGGGGAAATCCACAAATGATGGATTTTCCGAAGTGGACCCACAAAACGTGAGAAACACGTCTTGCAGAGGGGGCGTTCATTCCAGCCACCAAGCCTCAGGTTGCCACGTTTTTTTTTGGGGCTGAGGCGTGTGTTTCTCCGGTTTTTTGGGGCTGAGGCGTATTTTTCTCCGGTTTTTTGGGGCTGAGGCGTGTTTTTCTCCGTTTTTGGGGGGCTGAGGAGTTCATCTTCACGGAGAGTCACGGTGCCGTGGGCAGCGTCATGGCCTCGGCGGAGTGGTCCTTCGGCACCATTTGCCAGCCAGGGGCCCAGTGGAGCGTGGCCCGGATTCGACTCCAAGGGCTCGCCTTGTCGCCCGTCGACTGACAATCTGCAAACCAGTTGTGGAGACAAGGGCTTTCTGGACATGTGGACTGTCGGGGCGCAGAGTCCAAATAGCTGATTCTGTGGTTCAAATGGTCAAAACGAGTTGTGTAGAGCCGAAAGTTGGCACCGTACTCGGAGCGACTTGGCTGCCACTTGGCTTCTCTCTTTGCTCGTGCGCGTTAAACGCGCGATAACATGGACCTTGTGAGCGTGTTATCCCCACGTCAGACAGCGGTTTCTCTTCAAAAGTTGTTTCATGCCTTCTCTAGGTCCAGTAGTGCCCTTGTACCAACTTTTTTGGGGGAGGGTTCCCCTAAATAGACTACAAAAAAATTGGTACCCTCATTCTATCCTCTCTACTGAAGGACCTACTGTGGATGGACGAAATCCTCTTAGGCACCACCTAAAAAATCCCTGGGGCGATGCTTCCCCTGTAAATACCAACAAACAATGGTTTGCTACTGTGGGTGGACGAAATCCATTTCGCACCACTTGGAAACTATGGGAAACCCGTGTTTCTTGGTATTTACGTTGGGGAATCCTCATTCGAGGGTGTCTTAGGTGGTGCGAAGTGGATTTCGTCCACCTACAGTACTGTGGATGGACGAAATCCTCTTAGGCACCACCTAAATTCAACCCTGGGGTGATGCTTCCCCTGTAAAAACTCCAACAAGCGTTCTGGTTTTCTCTGGTTTCAAAGTGCTGCCTAAGAGGATTTCGTCCACCAGTAGCGCTTGGAGCTGTGCCTTTGTGGGCTGAGCTTGGCGCCCAAAGCGCCGCGTGCCTTTGAGGCGCTTTCTGGCGGGCCTCGGTGCGCGCGGCTTGGCCGCGGATTTTTTTTGCGAGCCGGTCGGTCGGGCGGTTTTGCCGCAGCTGGGTGTAGGAGCGGGGAAAGCGGGGAAAGCAGCAACCGTGGCTTTTCTTGGGGGGTTTGAGGCGTCCGGTTCCTTAGCTTTTTTGGCTTTGAGGGTTGAGTGATAGTTTCCATTTAACCCACAAAAAGTTAAGCTTTAGCAGGGGATCTGAGGGCAGCCCAGTTTTAAGAAGGTGACAATCGGTATAAGCAGCAAACCTCTACCCATTTTTAGGCTGAAATGGCAGACCAAGCATGCATGTCCGGGCATCATTTTGACTGATAGCGACCTCACAGTAAGGAAGGTAAAACAACGGCACATGATCAAGGCAATCTTTCTGCGGGAATCCTGCGCATTCAGAGCGAGAAATATTTGAACATCTCAGATAATCAGTGGAGGACGGGGGTACCCCTTGACTTCTTGGTGGGCACAAGCAAATGTACATGCAGCCATCGGTCCCTTTCATGCGTGAAATGTGTCCATGTTTTCACCTGAGTAGTAACTTCAACGCCCTTCTCCCTTTCTTGTCTCTTCCTTTTTGTCTGGTTACAACAAATAGAGTCGACCCCTAAACCAGGGGTCAACCCTTTTTCCAGGACCGAAGAACTGTTTGAAGCGCCCCCGCACTCACCACAGGGCCTTTTCTTTTTATTGGGAACCTCCCAAAACACCGTAAAAAAACTGCATGCAAAAACCCACCCAGGGTTTTTCCCAGGTTCCCTTTCAAGGCCCGTTTTCCTTCGGCGGTCCCTAGCCGCCCCTCGCTCGGCTCGTGGCTCGCTCGCTTAGGAATGCACTACGGGCACCCGGACTTCCTGGACGGCTTCTGGGCCTCCAACCGCGGCTCCCTCTCGAAAGCCTCCCCGGCCATCAACCTCTCCGAGGCGCGGGCTGAGCTGCGAGGCAGGCGAAGAATGTGGACCCCGGATGGCTGTGGCTCAAAAAACCGGCACCAAAATGGGTTGCCCTGGTAAGTGGAAACATGGACCAAAACCTGCGTAACCCCTCCTGTTTAATTCTGAGCCACACCCAGATTAGCAAACCCCTGCTTATTGATATGGGGGGGCTTTTCCCTGGGTTTACTGGGGGATTTAGACCACTTTTGGAGGGAACACCCCCCATATTAATAAACAGGGGTGTATATTAATCCGGGGTCGACACTATGTTTGACAATAAATACACCATATAAGATATATACATATATATATATATATGCATAAATTATTATAAAGTTGCGCATACGTACATTATATACAACATTATTATACATCGCTGTATGGGTATATATTTATATTTATTTGTTTGTTTATTTATGCAGGCTGTAGACACCTGTTCGGCTGTCCAAAGTCACAAACTTCGACAATAGAATGCGATGGAGGGAAGTGCACAGCCCCTTTATGCGGCTGTTGGACGAACAGCCATGAAGCACTCAGGGCTGGAGGTGGGTGGCGGAGTTGTGACCGCTTGCCAGGACATCTTCGCAGGCTTCAACGTGAGGATGCGAGGTGGGCCGAGATGGGCAGTGCGGCAGACCTTGGGCCAAATGCAATAAGGCAACATTCGGGGGTTGCTCAACATAGGGGACACCTGTTCGGGTGGTTTAAAGGGAAACCAAAAGGAAACCCAGCTGGAGGGGTCCCTAGTGTTGAGAAACACACATTTGGGGCACACACAAGTGCACGTGCTGTCTTTCTGTGAAGGCAATCGTTTCCTTTGCGCTGGGCTCCAGAGCAAAACAGCGGTCAGACCAGGTTCTCTGCCAAGGAAGCTCCTGGACCGCAATGTCCGCCAGTCCCGCTTTCCAATGCCCACATTGAGGGCCAAAGCCGGGGTTGTTGACAATGGAAACATGGCTAAGAGAGACCCATGCAGCCCATACATCCTTACTGGCCACAAGCATGAACAAGTCATGATCGTGCGACAGCCGGCAGTAGTGGTTTGAGCTCTTTGGGAAGATTACAAGTCCGTATGTACGGACAATCAGAGGTGACTTAGACCATGGCAGTATTGCCTGTTCCTCTTCAACACCGCCCAACACTCTCTTGATACCGAAGCTTGGCCAGGGGTTGAGAGCACTGTACTGGGTATTTGGGACATGGGGCATTTTCAGCAAGCCAGGGCAGGAACACATTCGGAGGAATTAGGCCAAAGTTCTAAATCACCTCGCGGCATGTAGGTATTCTTGGCCCTTGGCTGTTGAACAATTCAAGCGAAGCCGACCGAGTTGGGGATGGCTTTCTCGGGGTCATTCCAATTCTCATTCCCCGCCAATCGCGCCAGCCATATTAGGTGTGGCTCAAGTGGCTCAAAATTCAAGACCTGGGGCAAGCCGCGGGTTTTAGTTTTAGTCTACTGGCCATTTCCCAGGGCAGGCCATTTTGGAGTTACCCCTATTTTTGGAGCCACAGCCATACCGGTCACCCACTGATTCAAACGCCATGTTGATCAACCTCCATATGGGTCAGCCCTAAATCACTGATTCAATCGCCAGGTAGCCCCCCGCATAGGTCAGCCCTAGAAATCTCGGATGCGTCCGAGCCGCGTCCAGCCCGAGCCGCGCAAGGTGAGAGCTCCAAGCACGTGGACACTTTGGCCTGGGAGAAGGGCCGCGAGAGCTCCTTCAACGCGGCCTCGCTCTTCTACACCAAGGCGTTCACGTCGGGTGGGGGGGGGGGTTGGGGGGTTGGGCTGGGTTTTCCTTCCTTTTTTTTGGGTGGGGGGTGGGGGTGGGGGGTGGGGGTGGGGGGTGGGGGGTTGGAGCGATTGGGGGGTGGGGGGGGGGAGGTGTTCTTGTTTGTTGTGTTTGTTTGTTTTTTTTGAGGGGGGGGGGGTTATTTTTGTTCGCTTGTTCAGGTCTGTTGGGTTGCCAGCGTTTCTTTGGTTGGTCTTCTTGTTGGCGTGATTTTTCTTTTTCAGGTCCTGTCGGGTTGGCTTCAGTACCCGTTTAGAGTCGCTCACTTTGAGGATGCCACTTGGTCTGAGCCAAGAAAGCTTGCGAGAATGCTTGATCTGACAGAAGGGATGACCTGATGACCCCCTCTTCATCAACCCAGTTTATTAAATGGGGGGTGCTCAAGTGATGGGGGGTGGGGTGGGGGTGTTCCCCTCAAGTGATGGTTCCCCACTAAGCTTGAAGACACCTTCCTATCGATAAACTGGTTGGTTGAGTTTGGGGTGAACATCAAGGGATGACCCAACCAAAAAAATGAGCCCGTTGAAATATGATTCGCTGTCGTTTGAGGATGGTTGTTTTTTGCTATGAGCTAGCAAGATCTTGCGCGGTTGGAATGTTGAAAGGGCAGGACAACTTTGAACAAATCTGATCGATAGATCTCGCAGTTGCTTTTGCAGAGTCATTTGCATCAGCGTTGCTTCCTTTGTTCTAGCCCGACTGGTGGTCTACGACAGAATGCAGTTGAAGATGCTGCCAAATGCACCTGGCAGCAATCTAGGTGTAACTTCTCCATTCTTTCCAGGGGGATCACCCCTAGAATAAATTCCACAGGCTTCAAATGCAAACCTCCCAGCGGCCAATCCCGAGTCAGCTTTTCCAACCACACCTTTCAGGCTTTCAGGATGGGAGCTGGGAGACGAACAAGACCCATATTTGTTGGCGCATAGAACTCGTAACACTGCCTTGTGTCAGAAGTTCACATGGGTAGAGCCACCCAACTGCTCCACTGATGCTCCGTTAGGTTGAGCCACTGGCTTAGTGAGAAATGGGTCGAGCTTGGAGGGGATTTTGGATGCATATGACTATTTCTGACATATTCTTGACGTGCCGAATGGCTTCTTGTCAGTTCTGGTTCATGGGATAGCCATGACGCTCTTGTTTGCAACCTATCCAGCCAGCCAAACAGATCACTGAAGTAAGGTAGAGCTTTCTACAGTCCTTTTTCGGTTTGTGAACACCATTTCCAACCAGTGCAACTATTCGGCTGCAGCTTGTGAGACCAAGTTCCTCCTAGGAAACGTTTTGGATGCGGCGTTTGTGGATCTACTTGTGTAGGATATTAAAAGAGTACAAACATATCCTACTTGCCAAGCGGCGCCCTCTTTTCCTTTTTTTGGGGAAGGGTTCCCCCCTGAAACTCCCAAACAAAAAAGGATGCCCGATTTTTTTCCATGGCCACTGGGCATCTGAGCATATTGCCAACAAAGGACCAAGAAAGAAACGTGGCATCCACAAAAGAGCCGCATGTTTTCTCCATTCTACCACTTCCCACTCCTCCCACCAAGCAGATCCTCGCTTCTCAAGGTCAGCAAGGGCAATGTGGGAGTGATGCGATCCCGAGACCTCAAGGTGATCACCCAGAGACTTGACTTGAAGCGCGTTTCTGGGGATTTGTTCTTTTTGTAGCAGTGCGGGCCTGTGGAAAATACGCAAGATCCGAGCTGCAAAAAAAAGGCCACAGCTTTCCGCTGTCCTATAGATGTGGTTTTTTGAGCGTGCCCCTTTTTTGGTGGTTTAAAGGAAAACAACCAGGAAAACCGTTGACCGCCATTTCTTGGGGGGTCCGAAGTTTAAACAAGGCCAACCACGCTGTGTTGGGACTCAGGTGTTAGGGGTACCCGGTTGCGAGCGTGCGCGGAACCAAGGAACATGAATGTGGTCGGGCGCTCAGGATTGGCGAGCTTTCCGCTACCAAAACATGGAAGAAACAATCAATTGTATAGCTTGACTTTCCACCCTGGCAACGGCCTGTGGATGATCCTTCAAACAAAGAGCACAGCAAGGGCCCTTTCTTCAAAGCCCTTGGAGGATTCATGCCGTATAGGTGATGATTTTCGGGGAGCCACCGAGCTTGGCAGCCAGGTTGACAACTTCTCTTTTTACTTCGCATCTGCCGCTTGGTTGCAATGTGTTGCTGTTGTCGGATTTTGCGTGCACAGGGATCGGCAGCCAGGTCGATCTGAGGGTGCCGGTTGCCGAGTAACTGGGCGACGATCATGTTGGTCATACAACCCTGTGAGGAAATGGAGATGTTGTACTTTCGCAGACTTATCAGTGACATTTTGGGTTTACCTGCCAAGCTCCCAGGTCGGTTTTACGAGACTACCGTTGACTGCCGTTCATATGGGTAGGGTCAAGATGAAACCATCAGGGGACCGCAGGTTTTAGTCCATGTTTCCATTTACCAGGATTCCGTTTTGGGCACGTATTTTTGACCCACAGCCATATGTTGTTGTTGTTTTTTCTCCCACAAGACTCTGAAAGATCAGTCCAGAGTATTGCAGCTTGGTTAAGGAGAGGCAGCCTTACAGCCGAGCAAGCGCAATAAATGGCGTTTTCCCCCATGGTGCTTGCGCAAGTGGACGCCTGAGAAAGTCCTGAGGCTGAAGTCAGCTTGGGCTTGTTGCCTGGTCCTGTGTCCCCAAGTCCACTGGCTCTCAGTTGTTCAGCGGCTCCGATTCTTTTTCTTTTTCCAACTTTCTTTTTGGTGGGCTGCCCCACTAAAATGGTCCAAGCCCAAAAAAGGGTTCCAATCCTTTTTTTTTCTCCAGGGTCACTGAACAACTGAGCTATAGACTGCTGCCACTCTCTTGAAATCTCCCCTTTGCGGACCCATGAGGTGACCCATAGCTGGAAGTCATAGCAACTTGGGAAATGTGGGCCCATCGAAGGCCAAAAGAACTTCTCCGGTTGCCCAGACGAAAGTCGGGACCCTTCTGGGTGCTTCCTAAAGGGTCACCCCGTGTTCATCGGACCTTTTGATCAATCCCCACATGGAGAAGCCATTTTCCTCAACGGAGCCTCCACATGCAGGGTGGCCCTCGGAGATGTTCTGTTTCCATTTGAGCCACGTCCTCAAATCCGATTCGGGTAGATGAAGCTTAGTAAAGGACCATCCCCTTGCCATAAAGAGCTGCGGATATCCGCCTTCTTAATTCCAGAAGCATGGTTCTGGGATTACGACCATTTTAGTACCGGGTTTTGATTGTGACTCATTTGATGCATTTCATTCAAGCGCTGAGATCGGGTTCTATCTGAACAACCTGCTCATCGACGCATCCTGTTCGTCGGGGCCTCATGCTGCCTGGTCTAGCAACCCTTGTTCTGACTGTCCTTTCTTTCAGCCAACATGTTATTTTGAGTGCTGACCTGAAAGGAGGTTTTTGTGACCTGGGCGTATGGTTCTTGTTTTTCACCCCATTTCATCAGGTAGTCCTTAGTTGGTGGTTTGGATTGGCGGGAACTGGGGATTTGATGCTGTGGTTCTTGTAGATGGTAAATTGGAAACCAAACCGGAAGACCGAACCCACGGATTCGGTTCCAAACCACCCTTTGGGGGGAGGCTGATTCAATGGTCATGTAAAGGACCTTTTGATCAACTCCCATGTCTCATTTTGTTTTACCCCATTCAGACCACCAAACCACGGATTCGGCTCCAAACCACCCAAACAACTTGGGGTTTTACTCCATTCGAACGGATTCGGCTCCACCAAACCACCAACTGGGAAGCTGATTCAATGGTCATCCTATGTAAAGGACCTTTTGATCCACCCCCATGTCTTGATTTTTGTTCACCCCATTCGATGAATTCTGATGTTATCGCCTAGGGGGAAGCTGAAACGATGCCCCACCCAGCCCACCCCAGCCGACCCAACCCCATCCCCCCCCCACCCCACTACACCCCCCCCCCCACCCCACCCCACTACACCCCACTACACCCCAGCCCACCCCACCCAGCCCAGCCCAGCCCACCCCAGCCCACCCCACCCGGACGCCAGGGTCTACGTCTTCCTCTTCATCCTCCTGGCTTTGGCCTCCAAGTCCCTGCAGGACGTCGCCTCCTTGGACTCCATGCTCGCCACGGAGTGGACGCCCCATCCTTGGAGCGCAGACGTTTAACCACAAAAATCCCGGGCTCCAGCCCCAGGTCTGGGCTTTTTCGTTCCATTTTGGCATAAGGCCATGGGTCAAAATTCCAAATCCAAATCGTACCCCCAATGAACATCCCAATCCAACCACTAGAATAGACTAAGATGGGCGGTGCACCTACCCCAAAATGGTACCATCGGTTTTGACCCGCAGCCATAGACCAAAACAAGGCTACACCACCAGGGTACTTCTATCCCCAAGTCTGAAAATTGTCACCTCCCGCTGATGCGGTTGTCCAACTGGTTGGTTCCAGGCTTGCCCTAAGCGGAAAAAACCCTTCACATAGGGCCTTGTTGGCTGTTTGTATGGTGGTTCCCAGCCATCCCTCCAGGTTTTTAGGTTTTAGGGTTTTGTGGGGGGGGGGTCCATTTAACCCACTAAAAGTTGGTTAAACTTTTAACTGAGTTAGCAGCGGATCTGAGGACACCCAGATTTGACTTGGTGATGATTGCCTCATTGTGAGTGGCGACGAATTGGATTTAGGGTCAAGATCAGGAAATGAGGTCGCAGTTGACTTTTGGTGCTACAGATTTTGTTGAGAACAGCAAACGGTTCTTTCGGCCAACGGGCAAGTTCTGACAATTCAGGCAGGCTGAACCTCCAGCTTTCATTTCGTCCCAAAGAAGCCAAACATAGAACATCCAGCTCTCCCCCAAAGCCAAGCACACGCGTGGGTAAATGTACATGTAGGAAACACCTGGTTAGCAACCAACGCGCATATTTGGTCTGACTTTGTGTGGGAGGAAGAGGGTTGGCCAACCCCTCACTCTATCGTGGTTGAATACTTAAAGGGGCAGGTGCTCAGTAAGTGGTGAGCAAGTCAGCTTAGAACCCACTGAACGGAGACGTAAAACCATGGCTTTTGTGTGTTAAAACCAAAGCTTACCAACCACTTACCAGGCGCAAAGACTTTTTTCCCCCGCATCCATCTGCTTCAAGTTCTCCGCGCCCGTCTTGCCCAAGAGAGAGAGGAACTTGCCCTAAGTCCAATCCCCTTAAAGTAGTTTAACCATTGTGCAGGGGAGCTCTTGTCCAACAGCTGATAGCTTTGGGGTCGACAGGCCCACAGAATGCGGTTCTTTGGAGCTTTCAGATTTCAGGTTCCTGGGGTTGCTGTTGGGGACCCTGGGCTTTGACCCGAGGGCAGTATCTATGGCTATTTGGCCACGGGTTGGATTTTCTTGAAATCTTTGAACTTCAACCCCTGGGTGAAACAGTTTCTCCATAGGACCCACAAGTTGTCCACTTTTTTGGCAGAGGGGTCGTTACCGCAACCAAGCTTTGCTTTTGCCCAAAAGTCGTGTCCCAGGCTGTCGATGGGCACAATCGCAATGTTCCCCAGATTCATGGCCCCGGCCTCGGCGCGGCTTCAGATTGGGGTTAAACCCTCTCCTATACTCTGTGCGTTGTGGTCGACCGCTGCAATTCGAGACTGGCATCCATGAACAATGCGAATTGCACGAAAACGTCGCATGTGCGACTTACACCTTTTGCATGATCCACATCCCTTCCAAGGGACACCATCATGTTGTCTTAGGGACAGACATTTCTGTTTGGAAAGCCAGACATTTTGAGGTCCGTGAACAAGGTAAGTGTGCATATCCGCATCCATACCATTGTTCACTTGATTGGGTAGTTTGTCATAACATTCATTGGGCTGCTAAAACCATGTTTCATCAACACATGGGCCATCCAGATGGGCACACAATTCGGTTTTGGCGCTGTGATAAAAGGGTATCCTCAAAAACAAAGACCCCTCCTCGCATAGGGCCATTTTACTCTCGGCTCACAAGTCGTGGAACCCTTTTGAGAGCCAGCCGTCCTGAGTTTCACGACCAAATGTGTCGCAGTTGCCAGGGCTCCCCACGTTGTGACTCATGCGGGGTGGGGGGGTCGTTGAAGCGGCCCACTTGCATTTGGACAATCACGCCATGTATTGCCACATGCGCATGCAGAGAAGACATCCGTGATTGGGATTCCTGTAGGCCCGGTGACCATCCGTCGCATGTTGCGATTCACTTCTTTGAGCCAGTCTTCGAAAAGCAAGTTCTGATCTCAGGAGCTGACGCTGGAGTACGGGCCTTTGGAGGGACTGCTGCGGTTCTTGCCCTCGGCGCGGGTCCCAAGGGGCGGGAACACCTCCAGGTCCAGCCTCCATGGTCTGACTATGGAGCATGTGCTGGATGAGGCCATTTGGTTTTGCGTGGAGAGCATCTCTACTCAAGAAACTTGTGTGATCCGCTTACGGGACCTATCCATAATTTTGGCTACTGTCAGGGCTGGTCAAGCTCGGTTTCCCCTTCAACCCCCCTCGGGGTGACTTTGAGAAGTGTTGGCGGCTCCCCGTCTCCTTAGGTTTTTGGGTCTTTAATGTTTAGTGGGGGGGGTTTCCATTTAACCCACTAAACGTGAAACTTTTTGCAGAGGACCGCCCAGAATTGCAATCTGATTTGGATTTGGTCAGCTCTAAGCCAATGACACGAGTCAGCGGCTGTGCCATGGAATGAACCACAATCAAAGCCCGGGTAAGTGAAGGTTAGGGACGATCCCAGCCATAGCTGCGGATCTCCGCCTTAGTTCTTGAAGCATGGTTCTGGGATTGCGACCATTTTTGTACCGAATCGGTTTTGAGCAAGTGACTCAAATGAACTCGTCAAAATGGCAGATGGACAAAGCGGCCAGGTTCAACCGGCCACCACACGTCCACCACAAAGTGAGCTTTTATCCTCCCACTTGCCCAGTGGTTTCCGCCCATTTTTCCTTTTTTTTGGGGAAGGTCCCGTTGAAACTCTACCAACGGAAGAGGATTTCCTTTTTTTCCCATGGCCACTGGGCATCTGAGTCCTTGTTGCTTTGTTTCGTCCATTGTGTAGTTTTTTCCCACAGCGCCCATGCTTTCCAAGCTCATGTCAAGCACGTGCCCTGCCAATCGCCAGGTCTTTTGGGCAGAGTCTCACAGTGCTCGTGCCTAGGGTGTGTGCATTTTCTCAGGATTGTTGTGTTCCTGTGTACGCGCTTGTTTCGTTTCCTTAAAAAAAAAGAGCACAAAACAACGATATGGCAGATAGAGGTCCTTGCGGTAGGACTGGGGGGTCATGGGGGCAAGCAGGTGCTTGGGTTGGAAGCCTCTTGAATGCGCCCAAAGTTTCACGGAAGGTCAAGCTAGATGTGTGAACTACAGCCGTACTGTTGACCCCATATTAATCAACCCCAGTTTATTAATAGGGGGTGTCAACCTGGGTGAAATGTAAGGAGTCAGACCACTTTTGGAGGGGCCTCGCACCCCTGTTAATAAACTGGGGTTGATGAATCTTGGTAGCTCCCAGCCATCCCCTTCTTGTAACTTTGTAGGTTTTTTGGTTTATTGGTAGTTTCCATTTCCCCCACTAAAAGTTGTTCACTTTTTGCAGGGGATCTGAAAACGGGCAGCCCAGTAATCTAGTCGGAACCTGGAAGCATTCGCAGCCGGTGTCGCGGATTCCGGGCCAGTCGATTCTGGTGATCTGAATGGAGCCGCGCATGATACACAAGGTGTTCACATGAGTGTACTGAGTCTCCAGAAACGAGCTGTTTCTCTATCAATATGTTTTTTCGCTGTTGTTGCATTTGAATAGCCTGTCAGCTCGGGGCAATTCAAGAAGGGTGAGTAGTGCGAGATTAGGCAAATATGAGGAGTGAAAGGATTGGGAGTGCTGCTGAGATCCCTGGCTGCATGACGATGTTCACCTTCATCAACAAGTCCATCGCATCTGGTGTGCAGGACGGGAATGCAGGGTCTTTCGCCATTTTGCCGTGCCCTGCTCTTGGTCTCTTGAGCAACCTTCCTCATCCATTCCTTTTTGCAATTGGCACCCATGGAACACAGCTTTTGTTTGGGAAGGGGATGTCAGGTTCGGGGTGCGGTCTTCGCATTTTCACCCCAAACCCCACCCCACTACCCCCACTACCCCCACTCCCACCCCCACTACCCCCACCCCCCACTACCCCCACCCCTATCCCCACCACCCCTACCCGCCCCCCTACCCGCACCCCAACCCCCCCCCCCACCCCACCGGCAGGAGACGATGATCACAGGAGAGGCGCACGGGAGCCCAGTGGCCTTTGAGAGGCTTACCTCTTAAAAACACAACTTTTCAACTTTTTGGGGGTAACATGGGCTATATGTCTGTAAAAGATGAAAACTTCCCCAGGGCTTGGAGTTTTAAGGGATAAGGAGGCGTCCAGAGGCCGCGGTTGCAACCTTCAGCCAGCCTCCCAGACGGTCTTTTGCTCGACAAGCGTTTCTCCGCTCTTCGGGGCTGGCTTCCGTTTTTTGTTCCTCTTTTGTTCCCGTGACCAAACTAGGGCATGCTTTTTCTCCTGGGCAACTCAAGCGAAGTTTCGGACTGCCCCTTTTTTCATGACCAAGCCAGGGCATCCATGTTTAATCATCAACCGGCAGTTGGCCTTAGCTTAGCTTCGGACTTCCTGTTTGAGAGCACCCATTTGCGTGGCGACCATGAACCACACGCTGCGGGGGGTCAACAGGTAAATCCGATCAAGTTTGATCCCTAGGAATGGCTTTGGCTGACGAGGCTACGGGGCTGGAAGTAGACAGTGGGGTTCAGAGAGCCAAATATAGCTCGAATGCTGTCCGACTGATTTGGATAGGCACGTGTGTGTCATGCTCAAGTCTTCCTGGGGAGAGGCGTTATTATCAACCCTTCAAAGCGGAGGTGAGCAATGTGTGTAAGGTTTCTGATTAAGGGGTCCATGACCACCCCCGGCGCAAGCAATGTGGGCCACGTCACATGTGGCCAACGCACACGAATCCTTAAACCAGTGCATAGCTACATGATGGTTTGCATGACCAAAGAAGGCGAACTCAGGGCAACTAATAGGGCACCATTTAATTCTGGCCGTTGCGCTTGCTCTTTCCCGAATGCATGCACATAAAAACAAAATGAGCTGGCTGGCTGGATGGATGGATGGAAGGACGGATGGGTGGGTGAGCGGATGGATGGACGGATGGACGGATGGCCGCATCGATCGAACGATCGATGTACAGACAAAAAAACACAGATGGCTGGCTGGGTGGATGGATGGATAGATGGGCAAGCAATGGCAAGCAGACAGGCATGCAGGCAGGCAGGCAGGCAGGCAGGCAGGCAGGCAGGCAGGCAGACTAGACAGGCATACAGACAGACAGCTACATAGTCATAGAGAGGTCGGCAAGCAGGTAGGCAAAAAGGAAGACAACCACAATGTACATGCAAAGACGCGCATGCAGATCGATTTTGCTCAGTGCAAGTAGAGTTGTCAACCACGCTTCTAGGATGAAGACATGTTAAACCTCAGGACCATTGTTGCTTACTAGCAGCGTATCAATGGCCTGATGATAAGCGCATGACTGGTCAACGTGCTGGGCTTCTTTCCCACAGTCAGTAAGTGCAGCCTGAACTCAGGTCCTACATTGCCACTGGACGGCCCAACGTGCCGCCGCCCAAATTGCAATTTGATAGATGCATTTCCCCCCCCCCCCCCAAAACTAACGCTTGGTTGATTTGTTTGTTTCTTTGTCGCTTGTTTGTTGGTCGGGGTGGCTTGCGTTCTGGTGGTCACCCCTCCTCGCAGCCGTTGGTTTGCTTGATTTGCTGGGTTCCTCCCTGCCTCTGGCAAAGCTGGATGTGTGGGAGTGCTCGATTTTTCTTTCGACCAACAGCTACTCTCCTCACTTCTTTCTTGGGATGTCCCATGCTCGAAACAATATATAGTTTGCTTGGTCTACTTTTTCACTGAGCATGCTTTCCCTCTATTTTCGGCTGGGCTGGACATGCCTCTTAGGGGAGCCTTTTGACCTTGGGTGGCAGAAAACACATCCAATAATGTGTCTCAGATGACACTGGCCCAAGATGCTCGATCTTTCTGGCAGAAATCGTAATTATTTGTCGATCGGACTCGTTTGGCTGCACCCCAAATCCTCAAAAAAGTGAAGCAATGGCCAGAACCGGTTGTCCCTTAGCTAACTACACTCGAGCCCGTTTGCCCGACGTGTGCGACTGGAAGGGCAGTCGAGCACGTTTGTTTGCGCGTCCATTTGTCGACGCAATGCCAACTTTTACCCATCACGCATTTAGTCGAACCAAATTGTCATGCGTTTAGTGTACACACCCACACGCAGGTAATTTCAGCGTCTAACATTGTTCCATGCAAAATATACGCTGTTCTGATTTCTCACTTTTCCATCCTGGGCAAAAGGAGCACACTTGAATCTGTATACCATGGTATACGCTGTCTTGATCGTGGCAAGATAGGACAAACAGGTCCAATGCGTGAAGATACAGCCCTGGACACATTTGCATCTGTCGGGACAAAGGGCAGTTTTTTGTGTGTGTTTTTTCTCGCGGCACAGGTGTTGAGGAGCTGGCAGTTACCGGCCGAAAGTATGAGACACTTAAAGGGGCGATCGGGTACTTTGTAAGTGGTTTGTAAGCCAGGTATTATAAGCCACAACAGCCATGGTTATAAGTCTCCAAAGTGGGTTATAACTAGGCTTACTAGCCACCTACGTACCCGATCGCCCCTTTAAGCAGGGGTTCATTTCCTTTTCGTTTGCAAATGAAGGCTGTGACTTGCGGTAAACCTACCAGATTCCTGTGAAAGGTGTCCAGCATATGCTAGCCAGGTGGAACGCTAAACAGCTCGTTTCCTTTGGGCTAGGTAGGACAAGTCAACCAGCGCCAGTACTTTCGGATCCTGCGGATCGTCAGCGAAACGAAAATCAGACACACCAGAGCAGAAGAGGGTTTGTTTCTCCCTTCCTCCGAACATGTACACCCTTGTAACAGGATCCTTTCTTTTCTTAGAGCGCTCTGGGAGTTTTAGGGTTTAGGTTTTGGGGTTTGGGAGTAGGGTTTAGGGCTTGGGGCTTGGGGCTTGGGGTTTGGGAGTTTTAGGGTTTTGTTCTAGGTTGAACATCCCGTGTGTGCCATGCAAGATGTGTATGGCAGGCAGCCTTCGCCTCTGCCCCCTCCTTTCCTGAGCTCCTGGATCTGGGTCAAAATCAAGCCACCAGGGACCCGCAGGTTTTAGTCTTTGGTCCCACTTACCGGGGCAAGCCATTTTGTGGTACCTATGTTTGACCCACACCCAGTTTAGTCGCTTTTTGGGTTTGGACTAGTTTAGTGGTATAGAAAACAAGTTCAGACTGTTTTGGCCAAGCCACTCAGGAAGTGAGTCTGATTCGCGCTGCTTTTGCTTTTGCATGTGGCAGGCCAACACCCACTACAGCTGGAAGGAGTGTTACTTCATTTTCTGCCAGAGCCCCAGCGCCTCAAGTCCGGATTGCGAAATCCATTTCGCACCGCCTTTCAGAGACCTAGCTTTCTGATTCGATTCTCCAACATAAATACCAGCAAGCGTTATGGGTTCACCCAGGTTTCATTCAAAGTGGTGCGAATCGGATTTCGCACGGACATCACTTCTATTGCGCTGTTGGTTGGACTTTCAGCTGTCCCCAGGCTTGGGTTTCATTCGTGGGGCGCGCCCCAAGAAATTCAATCCAGGCACCGCTCGAATTTTGTATGCTTGGGAGAGCTTGACCCCACCCCTTTCCGACCATCCATTGGACCCAGAAAAAAAAGCGACACATTTGCTTCAAATTGCGGACCACCTTTTTGGTTGCACAGGGCTCCTTAAAAGATGCAAATTTTGCAACCATTTGACACATGTGGCTTTTTTCGTACCAAAATAAAGGGAAACCACCATTTACCAGGCAATGTTCAGGTGTATAATGTAAGGATCCCTGTTGCAAGAGATCCCCAGGTGTACAGCGAACAGCCCCCTCCCCAATTCCCCGCTCATTTGTCAGTTGGGTTTGGCCCAATCTTCAGATCCTGAAACAGCCACCCAACAGCCCCTTCCCCAATTTGTCAGTGAGTTTATCTCCTAATCTTCCGGCGCAGGTTGCGTTCCTGAAAAGCTGTCCAAACAGAATCTTCTTTCACCCCATCCGCAAGGTACCAGCCACTACTACCCAGCCCTCAGGATCTTTTGTAGCCGCTCGGTTGCACTGCGAGCTGTCGCTCGTTTTGCTTCAGGGGTCAAGGATTGCCCCCCCGACGGAACCTGTGTACACGGAGCTGCACCATTTGATTTCAGTTGAATGTCGGAATGACGAACCATGAGAGGTTGACATCAACAGTGAGACTTAGAGAGCTTTCCTTGCAGACCATTTGGAAGTGCCATTTTCTTGTCCTAGTTGTACTCATCACACATTTCTGACCCCCAGATGAATCAACCCCCATTTCATGAATATATGGGGGGGATTCCCTCTAAAAGTGGTTTGATTCCCCCTATGAATAAACTGGTTGGTTGATTCGTCTGGGGTCAACATCTTCATCCAGAGGCGAGCTGTCAGCGATCAGTTGAGACCTGAGCGATTCACCAATGGACCAGCTGGGAGCAATCATGACAACCTTGGGCACGAGAATGGGGCAGGGGAGGCGGGGTTGGGGGAGAATGACAGGCATTGGTGAGATGGATTCCCGTCATTTGTCATCCTTACCTCCCAAGGTGTAAGTTTCTAAGCAGGATCAGCGCTGCGACTGTTTTCGACCAAGAAGTTGCGGTTTTGGGTTTGGGATCAAGGGTTCAAGGTGTTGCATTTTGGTCTAGGTGTGCGCAGGACTCTCCACTCCATGGCATCCCTTTGCGTTCGCTTTGGTTGGCCATGAAGTGGGGAATGGGGTGACGCATCCCTTTTCCGAATGCCATTCAATTAATGGACCGTCTAGAATCTAGAACCTCAGCATTCAAGGTGCCGTGTCAGATGGGACAGAGTTTTGAAAGGCCAAATATCACCAACCCCTTGGGTTTTATAACCACCATTGGGGGATGGTTTCTTTTTTATTAAAAACCGCTGGGTTGGGCTTCTTTCTATTGAAAAACATCGAAAGAAGCGCTGGGTTTTCTCCTTCTTTTTTGTTGTTGTAAAAAAAAAACCACTGGGTTTGCCTTGCGTGTATATTTTGTCAAAAAACAAACACCGTGCATGTGACCGCCTGACCGCTCTCCTGGCCTTCCCTCGGCGGCTTGCCATCGTTTTAGGCCCTGAAAGGACGAATTCGGTGCCCCAGCGACTGGGTGCCCGACCTCTCACCAACGTTTTTTGGGTTGGGAGGAAACCGGGACACTGAAATGGACTAGAGAGAAAAGAAACGGTACCAACTTCTTCTAAGCTCTCAAATCTGGAGGGCCTAGATGATCACGGGAATTGTACCGCGTAACAAAAAACCTTGAGGCATGACAGGTCAGTGACACGGTTTTCAGGTTCATGTTTGAGGAATCCCAGCGGGAACATGAACGGCTGATGTCCAGGAAATCCTCATCAGACGTGGGAAGGAAAATTGATCTTGAACTTTGCAAGTGTGAGATGATCAGATGATCCACGTGCTCAAAACCGATTCAGGTAGATGATCCGGTTTGTAAGGGACAATCCCCCTGCCGAAAAGAGCTGCGGATATCCGCCTTCTTAATTCTTGAGGAGTGTTTCTGGGTCGACCATTTAAATACCGGGTTTTGATTATGACTCAGTTTATCCTGTTGTGAAGGGCTGTCACGATTTCACAAGGGTCCGCCGGAGTCGCATATTCTTTCGGGCTCTGACGATCAAGGATGTTTGGTTTTCACCTGGTTCACATTTTGCGGTGGCAGCCGAGTTTGCCCACACAGCAGCACAGGATAGTCGCCATGTCGGGATGCTTGCCTTGCCAGCTTCCAACAGCTCAGATGGCAACTTCTAGTCGGTTTCCAAAGCAGATGCAAAGCCTGTGCTAAACCATTTAACACCCTGCTCCAAAGTCATGCAGGGGGGATATTTATTTTTTTCGTGGGGAACTTAAGCATTGCTTTTGTCCACGGCGCCCATGCTGCCAAAAAGTAATCGACGTCGCCAGGCTACTATGTCTATGTGCTGGTGTCGCAGGCCTTCGTTCGAAGTCGGAACCATTTCTCGACCGACTGCCAAAAACAAAAATCCTCCATGATCCGTTTTCTTTCGGCCTCTAGGGGTTGAGAGTCTTTCGGCCCCTAGGGGTCGAAAGATTCGTAGGTTGTACCCTACCAACCAACATGGAAGCTTCTCTTTTCCCGGAGATTGCTCCAAATCAGGACCGTTTCCCCACAAAACCGAACAGTCTAACAGTCTCATGTGGATTGCTTTCTGGGAGCTCCGGGTATCTCCCGGAGCAAAACAAAATTGGCGGGTGTCATCCATCCCCACTGGTTGCCTTTCCATCCGGGTCCAGAGGCGAGGGGAGAGCCAACAAGATTCCCAAGGTCGTGGCTGATCAGGACCCACTGGCCCAGTGGTGTCCGCCCTGGTTTTTCCTTTTTTTGGGGGCAAGGTTCCCGTTGAAACTCAACCAGACAAAAAAGGATGCAGGGGGGGGGGGGGAAGGGTTCCCGTTGAAACTCAACCAAACAAAAAATGGATGTTTTTTTTTTGTTTCCCATGGCCACTGGGTATCTGAGAGGAGGTCCTTTACGTGGGATGACCACTAGGGAAACCACCAAACAAGATAAGACGTTCACCACTACATGGGGACAAAGTACTCCTTGTCATTTTGGCGCCGAACGCACTATTGATCAAGCCCCACATGGTTCCCTAATGGTCCCCCACATGGAAGAGAAGCCATTTTCCCCAACGGAGCCTCCAGATGCAGGGTGGCCCTCGGAGATGTTCTGTTTCCATTTGAGCCACAATCAAAGCCCAAATAGCTGCGGATATCCGCCTTCTTAATTCTTTACATGGTTCTGGGATTGCGACCATTGTACCGGGTTTTGAGCAAGTGACTCATTTGATCGTGACTGGTGACATGGTCCAAAGGCTCTCGGTGCAGTCTGAGAGGTGAGCGTGTTATTTGGTTCTTCACTTCCGGATTTCCGATGGTCAATTTTGAATTCTCCTCCCACCAACTAGCGTGGAAGCCCATAGGCCGCTAGACGACGTTCCTTTGGAAAGGGTCTTTGTGCACTTTCATATTGGGAGGGTATCTTGTGGACAAGTTGGTTTGAACTCAACCGACCTTGGATGAGTTCCAGACGAGTTCCAGATATGGCCATGGGGCATAACCTATGGCTCCATTTTGAGGTGGATGAACATCCATTTGCCACCTATGTTGATGTTCACCAGGGGTTTCCTGGGTTTGACCCAAAGCCACACAGTTTGCCCTCCATCTCGGTCTTGGGCATGCTGACGGTAAGTCTTTTCGAGTTGATTCTCCGCGGTTTTCTCTGCGAGGCGCTTGGCTTCTCGACGCTCCCGATGATGGTGCTGTTGGCCTCCTCTTGCATGTGGCCACACGTCTCCAAGCGGGGGGAGGGGGGAGCATATATGGCATGAGCGGCAGGCGACGTCACGCCACAAAGTTCTTTTCTTAGCACCCGGCGGGGGGGGGGGGGAGGGGCTTGTGGCATGAGCTCTTCTCGTAGCGCAAGGGGGGGGGGGGGAGGGGCTTGTGGCATGAGCAGCATGAGCAGCAGACGTCAGCCGCCAAAAAGTCGAAGGACGCTTTCAATTCAACAGATGTTGATGGACAGGGAAAGCGTGTTTCTTTGTATGCTTGCATGACTGTGGGAGAAACCAAGATATTATGGGTCCTGGTAGGTCCACTTTCAGAAAGGTTGTGTTGAAGACTTTGGATTTCAACCAGTGCCACAAAAAGCAGGAATGGTAAGAGGGTGACACACTACACTGCGTTTGGGATTGCTCGTGGAAACAATCTGCTGCGGAAGCTCCGTTCACCGCAATCTAGGGACCAACTGTGCAACCGTTTAGTCGGGGCCCTTTGCGCTCACAACTCTGTCACCCCACCGTGTGGACTTGAGGTGCTCCGCTTCAAAGATCAATGAGTCGTAATCCATTTGAGGGCCGATTGGACTGGCCGGTGCTTGTTAAGGGGCTTCGACGTCAAGCCGAGAAATTTTCCGATGAGTGATGGCAGCCAGCATGTCGGAGAGTGTAAAGACACCGAGGCCTAAGCTCACTGACAACACCTTTCGGAGGTGTGGTTGCATGCAGTTTGCTTGCTGCCGCAAACTCAGGCTGATTGCGCCCATTGCGTTTTGCCCGCAGCCCACCCTGCCCCGTGCTCAGACTTGAGCTTTTAAGTGGCGTGTCTCCCGTGGTGCTTATCCAGGTGCTTAACGAATCCTCCCATCAAATGTAGAACCCAACCCGATTTGTTTCCGCGTGTTTTCCAGATCGGTCTTCTTGTGACCGAGCTCGGGAGGTAAACCAGCTTGACAGATGCTGTTATCAAGCTTGCCTAATGCAATGGCTGGATGTGTTACCTGGTTGGTTCCCTCCTTGCTCCATGGCCGCAGGACACCCACAAGCATAAAATTCCAAGTTTCTATCAATGGAAGGTCCTCGCTTCTCAGTCCAGTTGGTTTGAGGGGCAACATGCCTTTTGTTTCCATACAGGTTCAGTCACGCGGGGATTTTAGGAGTTTCTGGGATGCGGTTTGGATGAGTGGCTGCGGCTTGGGGTTAATCACATAGGGGACGGCAAGGTAGACCACCAACCCTCATGGCTTGAGTTGTCACAAGCCATGAGAACTCTTGTGCCAGGTGTTCATGAGATGCGTGGCATGACTTTTTCGGAACAGTGCAGGCTTGGGGCTGCTTCTCACACCTCCATACAGCGAGCTGTTGCTTGAGTCCCGAAGTTTGTTTGTAAACAGCGCACATGTGCGTCCTGCTTGGGGATGTGTGACTGACATTTTGCTTGTCGCACTGCGCCGTTTATAGGCAGGGACCGCGAAACGGTGTTTGAGCAGTTCTACCTGTCGGGATCTGCAAGTACCCAGCTCCACAAAAACCAGAGAAGCCCCATGCGCGTGGTTGAAGGGACACGCGCTTTGTATTCAGCATCAAGAAGAGACAAGACGGTTCATGATTAATTCATATCGGGCATGGGTCAAAATCCCGTACCGCCAGTGAACATCCCAATCCCCACTAGACTAAAATGGGTGGTGCACCTACCCCAAAATGGTGCCATTTGTTTTGACAAGCACAGCCATATCGGGCATGTTGCCTTGCACCGCATGTTGTTGCAATGGAAGACCCTGAAGGGTATGTTTCCTTCGCTGGAGTCTGGACCAGCGCAGCCAAAGGGTGGCTTGATTGATCGCGGCTAAGCATGTGATAGTCAGATCCAGAACCCGCCACCAATCAGATTCGTTGAAGGACAGTACATCGCATCGCCGGAATGTCGAGGTATAAAAGGACTAAAGACCCATGTGTGTGTGTGAGAGTTTTGAGGATAGTTGGTTTAAAGAGAACCCAAAAGAGAACAAAAACCTTTGAGGGGGTCCCCATTTTGATGCATATATCATGTACATGAAGCTCAGGCATCCCTTCAATGTGGCTCAACATCTGTTTCTGACCGAAGGGTAGAGGACATCACCCAAAGCCCATCGGTCCTTGGTGCTGATTGCTCCATAAGTCGAGCCGAACCGAAGAGTGACATGAGTCGATCAGCCATCAGGAGTTCAATGGGCCGGCGCCACAGTCGTCTTGCAATTGCTGAAAGGAGTAGTTGTTTTTCTCTTAAACAAAATGTAATTAGTTATTTTCCTTTGTTGGTTGTAAAGTTGGAATTGATTTTACTACTGGACATATGTGTTTTTTCTTCTTTTTTTTCAGGGGGCAAAGAAGCAAATGGAAGCGGAGTCAACTCCTCACTAGCTTTGAGGGACCCACCATCTATCATGGAACCCTGAGGGTCTATGGAATGAAGGGCTCTAAAGGGTGATAAAGCCTTCTAAGCCTTTGTTACCAGGACTTCTTAATTGCCTAGCGCGGCCTTATCCTCGGTGGATCCAGGAAAATCACATAGACTCCTTCCCCCACAGCCTTCTCCCCCCAAAAGAAGTCCATGGTCCAGAGTTGACTTCCGTTTGCTCAACCGTATCACAGAACCTTCCCTACTGTTGGACATGACTAGTGAAGATGTCATTGCTTGTTGGCACCTCAACCCAGTGGAAGTAAGGGTCAAGCTACGGGTTTTGAGTCCAACGGCTGGCAGATCCTGCGGCCGAAGCCGGGACTGTGCATCTCTTATTCAATAGACCCACAACACCTCCAAAAAGAGAGCCTGAGTCAAACGCCCATCAGAAAGTTCTTCCCAGCATGATGATGTGTATCCATACCATTTTGTGCGAAAGTTTGCATTGCAAGACGAGGTGTCTCCCAAACTGGCGAACGAATCAAGAACAATGACGAAACTCTGACTCTCCCCCATGGCATTGGCTCGTGGTAACTTGCCTAGAGCCATTTCACAGCTGGTTTGTGCAAGAGGGTGGCGTTTGGTGGCCGAGAGGGGAGATTTGTGGGGTCGCGAAGCGGTCAGCACTTTCTGGCAAACCCTTGAAGTGCCACTTTTCCGGGAATCTCGTCATCTATTAATGGTCGACGTCCACAAGGTCTAATGGACACATGCAAGTGATGCGCACCAGGAGTGGTAAATGGTATTCTTTGTTGTCTTACTGTTGGCTTCTTTCCGCGTCCTCCACCTCCCAACTAGCAAGACATCAGTTGACCTCCTGCAATACACTTATATGGAGACCCCCTTGTTTGAGTCACTGACAAGACATCAAGTCAATTGCGGCAGCTGACGCATGATACCTGGGTACAAGGAGGTAGGTTTTCAGCGAGGCAAGTTGCGCCAGGGGAGCTTCTGCACCATGGTAAGCCCTGCGGATGGTTGCGAAATCCGCTTCTGTACCATTTTGAATGAAAGCATGGGAGAAACCAAAACGGTTGTTGGTTTTGACAGGGGAAACGATAACGTTTGTTGGTATTTAAGTCGGGGAATCGAATCAGAAACCATAATTTCTGAACAGTGCGAAATGATCTTTGTCCACAGTATTTGACCCAGATCTCCCGTTGCATTCGCCAGATTCTCATGTCATTGGGGGCACCCCTTGTCACCATGCCTCATATGAAAGGGCGGTTGTGTTGGTTTAGATGTAGCTAGACGGGGCATTCGTCCCATGGGAGCTGTTCTTGTTCAAGCAGTTGTAGTCAAGCAAGGCCCGGGCAATGTAGTTGCCAGAAGATGTGTACTTGTGAAACATCAGGACCCGTACTTGGTACGTTTTCATATGCCGACATGAAACCAATGACTAGGGTGTTGACACAGAACCAGATGTTGGTTACAAGATTTGTTGACCTCTTAGTTGCTAGTTGACGACGTGGACATTGGAGAACCTCCCATTGATACTGTGGATGGACAAACTCCTGCTCCACTTTGAGGCCATGGAATACCATTGTCGATTGGTATGTACAGCGGATGCATCATTCCAGGGTTTCTTGGGTAGTGCAGGTTTTCGTCCACCCACAGTAGGTCACACGTAATTTGAATTCTTATTTGCTAGTTGACTTGGACATTGGAGAACCTCCCATTGATACTGTGGACGACGAAATCCTGCACCACCTAAGAAACCCTGGAATGATTATTCCCCTGAAAATACCAACAAACAACAACAAGCAATGCTTTCGCATAATTTCAAAGTGGTGGGAACGGATTTCGTCCATCCACAGTAGGTCAATTTGGTATGTGGATGTGGGTCAAAACCAATGGTACCATTTTGGGGTAGGTGTACCACCCATTTTAGTCTATTTTGGTGGGCATTGGGCTGTTCACTGGGGGATAACCGGGCTTTTGACCCATGGTCATGTGTCCAGCATACAACAAGCCGCCGAGGTCGTGACTTGAACGAGTTCTGGCAGTTCACGATCGCCACCCCTGATTGGAGTGTCGGAAGCTCATGTCGAGCCGTCGGTGGAATCGTTCATCAACCAGGTCCCCCAGTAGTGCCCTTTTACCAACTTTTTTGGTTGGGAGGGTTCCCCTACTAAAATAGACTATAGAAAAAGGGTACCCTTATTCTAAGCTCTCTACTGGATGACCTAGTCAACCAACCCGCATGGGGATGGGACTTCAGAGCTTTGCAAATTGAGGGGTCACACCTGAGTTTACAGGGGCATTTGCCTTGTTGAGGAATTCTTGACTTAGCCAAAAACTGTTCAATCATTATTTTCATGCGGGAACCTCACAGATCCGAACATACAGTTTGAGAAAACAAAACTTTGAACTAGGGATTGCAGTTTCCGCCAGATTCACATCACCCGGTTGAGCTAGTATAACCCAACAAGTCACCTGGGCTGACAGCGTGGTTCCTTCTGACAGAAGGCGCCGGTGGGACATTGCCCAAAGTTGTATTCGCCAAGATGTGGAGTCGCTATTTAATGTGTCAAAAGTAGGGGGCCCTTCTTGGTACCCCCTTTAAAAGGCGGCGCACGGCTGCACCAGGTCCCCAAGTGAGTCCATATTTTCGACAACCACCCATATATGTATCGACATCCGTCGTGTACCCAGCGTGATGGGTTGGTCCCACAGTTTATTTGATGCCCTAGATTCATAGGTGGGGACGCTAGCAGCAGGAATGCTGCTTCAACGAAATTCTTGCAGAACGCGCTAGCCACATGATTGCATACTAGAGCAGCCGATTTCTACGTTTCATTCCGGGAGACTTCAGCCACTATTGCACTACGCGGCGTTTCCGGGTTGCCAGGACACACCAGGATAGAGAAGGAACCCATAGCTTATGTGCTTGGCTTTTTGGGTATCCTTGTAGGGGAGCAACCCTGGTTTTTTCAGTAAAAAAAAGCTCCGAAAGCCATCAACGAGGCAACCATGTCACATACATGCATATGTGTGGCCTGTCATTTTTTGGAGGAAACCCCTTTGTTGGCTGGTTTTAAAGGGACACCAAGGGCGAACCTAAAACAAAGACGAGCCACCCATATCGAATATGGCTATGACTTGTTTAATTCGGAACCCCCTCAAAAGTGGCTGTTGGAGCCATAGATCAGCACCGATTTTTGTTGATGTCCGCCATTGGGGCCCCGATTGAAAATTCACCAATTAATTTGTATACATATACATATACATATATATATATATATATATACATATATTTGTATGCTAACCCGCCCCAAAACCAACCCTGCTTTAAGGTTTTGGCTGCATGTTGGCAATCCCCTCACACAAACATATATCGCTGAAAAAACAACACTATATAAATGATTGCGATGTATACAATACTATAATATATATATATATACATATTTGCACACACAGTGCAGGAATGTGTATATATATATATGTATATACATACGTAGAAATATATTAATACTACATACACCTTGGTGGCTCCCAGCCATCCGGTTCCTTAGCCTTCTTCAGCTTTTGTTTTCGTGTTTCGTGGTAGTTTCCGAATTTAACCCACCCAAAGTTGTTCAGTTTGTGTGGCCCATCCCCTTAGCCTTTTAGCTTTTTAGTGTTTCGTGGTAGTTTCCGTGTTTAACCCACTGAAGGTTAAACTTCTTCAGCTTTTTTTCGTGTTTATTTGTGGTGTCCGGTTTTAACCCACCAAAAGTTGCTCAGTTTTGGTGGGGCAATCTGCAAACGGGCAGCCCAGAGGTGCGGTCCAGCGCCCAGCGCCGCTCCTTCGAGTCAACGGAGGCAATCGCGAGCGAGGGGCGAGGGGGTTCCAGGTGGCTGAAGCCAAGAAACCGCGGCCATGGTGTTCCAGTTTTGTTGTTTTTTGTGTGTTCTTTTTCCAGTGTTTTTTTGTTGTGTTGGTTCTTTCTTCTTCCAGTTTTTATGTTTTCTGTTTGTTCTTTCTTTTTGACATGATGTTGACGTATGTTTGCAAGATGTGGCGAATGATCCTTTGTGACTTGTTTCAGCCTCAGCCTTAAATGTTTAAACATGTTGAGCTGTTGCCTGAAGCGGTTTGTCTTCATGACGGCCGCATGCTTTCACACCCGACAAATGTGGAGCAGCGGGACAGCGGGTGTTTCTTGGGCAGGAAGTCTTCGGGCTGATGATCTGGGTGAATTGTAACGACCTCACACGACCTCACCCCAAATGGTGGTTCACGTGGGGAATAGCCCCCCAACCACCTTATTTCAGGTATTATTAATCACCCGGGATGAGGGCTCTAGTTTCTTTTTGTCGGGGCATCAGCTATACCAGTGGCTCTCTGCCGACATTTGGGAACGTGGCCGAAGCCGTTTGTTGAGTCTAATAGCTGAGCCAAGTGCTCCAATTGGGTCATTTGGGAAATCGTGTTTGTTTCTTCCGATTTCAAGCACCAGAAGGATCAACCCTTCACATCGTTACTCCCTGGGATGATCCTCCAGAGAACCTTTGGGAATGAGTGAGATTTTCGAACATGATTTCAGTTGGACTTGTCCGACAATTGGTGGACTCTGTGCGAATGTGAGCGGAACATGCATGTAGGATGAGTGTGGCTTGTGCCTCCTGGTGAGGTTTTACTCCGGAACCGCCACCCGGCTTACATGTCTCCTTCTGTTTTCGTTCATCGCATCCTCTGATTCCGATGGTCATGAACCGCACCCCATGTGCGCTCTCATACTACGTCCCCCAGTAGTGCCCTTTTGCCCTTTTTTTGGGAAGGGTTCTCCTACTAAAATAGACTACATAAAACAGTTGGTACCCTTATTCTAACCTCTCTACTGGAGGACCTAGGCAGGCTCCCACTTTCATCTCCGAGACGCAGACATCTCCCCCCTCCCCTCCGAAGACAACTCCCTACTGTGGATGGATGAAATGCAATTCGCACCACATAAGAGATCATGGAATGATTCGATTCCCCCTGTAAATACATGTTTTCCCACGGCTTCAAAGCAGCGCGAACGATTTTTTTCCATCCACAGTATGGATGCCAGGAGCATTTGCGCACGGGTCTGCGAGATCCTCGGAGCTCCCTCTATGAGCCCGGTGCCCAGTTCCGTGGATTGCGCGTGGCGGGCAAGCCAACGTACCCTGCGGCCAGGTGGTTTCAAAGTTTGTCCACGGTCGATGTGTTCGATGTGTTTAAAATTTAAAGTATATATGTGCAGACACACACACACACACACGCACACGCACATTCACATGTTCGCATTGTTTATCCTTTATGGATACACACACACATTCATATGTTCATGCATATATGAAGCACCCTCGATATTTCTTTAAAGAGCGAACCATTTGGGATGATGTGATGAAGCATTACAGCGTGTCTTTGGGCTCTGTTTGTTTCTCTTCTGCCCCCCTCCAACTTCGAAGAGGATGATAGTATATCCTATCCTATCAGTAGGGCACAACTATGGGAATGCGTGGTGCCATGAAAGAGCGTGTCCACTCGTGTTTGTTTGGACCCGCCGGAACAATCATAGAAACCAGCTACAGGAAATTCTACAGGAAACTAGCCAGGTTCCCATCAAGATCAGGGGTTTCCTGTAGAACTTCCTGTAGTTGGTTTGGCCATGGGTCAAAATCCCGTACCCCCAGTGAACATCCCACTCCCCACTAAAACCCCGACCAAAATGGGTGGTGCACCTACCCCAAAATGGTATCCCATTGGTTTTGACCCACATCCGTTTCTTAGAAACAAGTCATTTTTGGAGAGAGGAGATGGGTACCTTGACAGGCTTTGTCTACATCGGGAGGATCCGATGTCCAGCGGTGGTGTCCTATGTTTGAGCCCTGCGAGTCCACTAGAGCCCAAGAAATGCCAGATGCATCCTGAGGTTTGACCATCATGAGGCTATCGGTTTTGACTGGTGAAATACAGCTAAGGGCCTCGATGTTTTTTTTCCTCAGCGTTAATTGCTTTGTGTGGTGGACGGAAGAAAGGCTCTGAGTTCCTGGGCAGATCAAGCAACCACCGGAAGGATCTTTGGAAAATGGACAATGCTCAGCGCGGACGAAATGACTGTTGGTTTAAAAGGGATCCAAAAGGAAGCCAGCGTTTCTTTTTTTCTTGTAACTTTCCTTGAAGCACCATAGTTCTCTGGGTTTTAGCATTATTTTTGTGCCTTCCTTCGTGATGTGAAGGGACATTCATATACTTATACCCCCCATTTCTCGAAATCATCTAGTCGACTTCCCAGGGTCACTCCCTCCAACCAGCGAGGAAGCTCCCACTGCAAATGGAACCAAGTCTTCCATTTCTTTGGTTCTGGGACATGAAATCGCCTGGCGGAGGGCCAAGATGGAGCTTGACCACGAGCTTGAGACACTCTGATGGTCGAAGAAATCACTCATGGGAAACATGCCCTATGAATCTGAATCACGTAGAAACAGCGCGCTTGAAGTGAATCGCATGCTTGACCCTCCATTTCAATCTCAGAAATACCTCAGAAATACCTCGGACATGTTCACCATTGGGAAGGTGGAACCCGGCTGGGTTCCACATCTCACATGGCAGGTACCCTCCCACCAATTACTAGGAACTGTTCGACGTTCGGGGGAGCTGGTTCGGACCATTTTCCTTGTAAAGGGAGCCCCCTGTCAGGTTCCATGTGAATTGGTGGAAGGGTCATTCGACTCGTCTACTTTTTGAAGCGAGGTGGTCCCTGCGGCACCCGTGTGATGTTTGAGAGCGAAGGGCCCGGGTCGCTTGTTTGCGCGTCAAGGAGAAACTGCAAGTCTCCTCACGTCACCAGCCAAGAAGTGCATAAACCTCATCCCCGCATTTGCCGCTAAACGGGGAGGCCTTTTTTTTGGCCTGAAGGGAAATGGGAGAAAGAAAGCTTTCAAGACGTGGCGATAGAAAGCTCAAGACCCCATGCTCGCTTACTCGCGGAGCAGTGGCGTCCAGGTTTTGGCTTCTGCGAGCTTTGGAGCACAAGAAGTTCGGCTGCTTCCAGCGCGCAGGGGGTCTTGGGGGAAGAATACCTGCTTGCAGGCCAACAGCTACCAGTTTTGTTGGCGTGTCGGGGTTCGGCGTTGAGCTTTCGCCTTGATGTTGGCCTTTGGACATTTAAGGAGGCGGTTTTGGGAGTTTAATGTGGACCCCATAGTACTCAACCCTTGTTTATCAAAAGGGCGTGTTCCCCTCCGAAAGTGATGATTCCCCACTAAAACCCAGGGACACCCCCCTATGAATAAACTGGGGTTGATTGATATGGGGTCATTCTTTTGATTGTTTCTAGGGGTGTTCAAAGTCAGAAAGTGGGATCGGTTGTTTCCCTTTAACTCATCACTGGGGTGACTGTGATCATGGTAACATAATGAGGCCAGTATGGGGTCAACAGAAATGTTGTTTATCCTGCGCCGGGAGGCTGGCCCTGGGTCCTTTGTTGCAATCATCTTCCTGCATGTGGCTGTGGGTCAACGGAACCCAGGAACATCAAAATAGGTGGTACATGGGTCAAAGAGCCAGTTGTTGAGCTTGTCGTTGTTCGACTGAAGGTTTGGCGCCTTGCTGAGGCCGCTCGTGAAGCAAATGGAATGTTGTAGGGGTTGATTCCCTATTCTTTCCAACCATCGTTCTTTTCAAAAACCAGCTTTTTTCCCTGGGTTTTCGGAGGTTTTCTAGAAAGAAGGATCCCTGGAAAGAATGGGGTACCCCTAGAATTGTCACACATCAGCAAACACTTCGAATTCTGAGTTCCCATATTAGCTATCGGGAGCACCTCTTGAAATGTCAAACATGACACTGAAGTCACTGCATGTCTCGCTTTCGGCTGCTTGCACCTGAGCTGAGGCATGACTCAATGTGCGCTGTTGATTGGCGTTTGCCTGTTCTATGGGTGCAAGTAGACCAGGGAGCACGTGAGTGTTGCTTGGGTCCACTCTCAATGGACCCTTCATTGCGACTTAGACGCGTCGGGTGTGGTTGCATGGTGCCTGCAGGTTTGTGTGCTTTCCTGGTCGGGTCAACTGTCAAACAGATGACTGTTCCGAGCCTGTCAAGCATCAGCTTTATTTGTGCCAGGTGCGTAGACGTCCAGTTGAATTTTGGTCACCCTCGTGTCCAACATGGAAACCCTGACAGACGGGTCCTGGAGGCCTTTTCTCCTTGAGAAGGGTTTTTTTTGGTGGGCCCTCTGTGTTTGTTTGCAGGTTGGGAGTGGTACACCATTGGCTTGGGAGGGCGTCAGACCGTTGGACCCAACGCGAGGTCGGCTCGGCGTCAGTTTCCGGTGCCCAGCCTGTGACTCGAGAACTGAGGTGTGCTTCCTGACCTACGACGGCTGTTGCTGCTGGGCATGCACTGGTTGCGTTCTGGGCATCGGGGGGGAGTCTCAAAATCAAGTGGGGTGGGGTGGGGTGGGGTGGGGTGGGGTGGGGTGGGGTGGGGTGGGGTGGGGTGGGGTGGGGTGGGGTGGGTGGGTGTGTTTGTGTGCGTGGCGCCAATGCAGCTCCCCCTCTTGGCGGTTTCTTCTGAATACGTATCCGTCCAGCCACAAAGAGGATCGCCCATGCTTGACACATACATGCACGGCAGTCTTATCATGGGACCCAGCTAGCAATCGCAGCCTTTCTCCATCCTGCTCAGACTGCCACCCTTTTGCGGATTCAGCCTGGGAGTCCGGCTGATCCAAAGGATGTTGCCCAGCTCGGCCCATGTGACTTGAGCCTATGAGCTCGACTCGGTTCAGCCTTCGTTGCCGCCTTCGCCTGTCAAGCCGAGGCCTTTTCTTCCTGCTGGCAGTTGTGTACAGCGGAGCTTGGCATGTTTGGAGATTCGGGGGCCCGGGCCTCCGGATGCGAGGGCGGCGGGTTCCTTGCGAGCTGTGACGCTGATTCGGAATGTCCATCCAAGATGACGGGGGATGGGAGTGTCATGTTGACGGATCGGCAAGCCTTTCGGACAATTCACCAAACAGAGGAGAAGAGGGACCCATGTGGCTCGAGGGTCCTTTTTCTTCTAGGCAATTTGCGGCGGGCTCAGCCCAGGTGCGGGGTGAGTGCTTGATTTAACGAGGTGATTCAAGATGCACCTACTGCGCCCAAGGGTCCCATAGCATGAGACAACTTTTCAGCTTGAAAGGCCGTTTTCTATGTCTTCCCGTAGCCTTCCCGTAGCCTACACGTGGCACCCCCCTAGTCTTTCTGTTGTGTTTCCGAAGTCTTCCCCTGTTTCCCCGCAGTCTTCCCTGGAGCATGGACGCCAACAAACGGCCCCTTTCAAGGTGAGTGCCATTTTCCAGCAGGTCCTCGGATCGTCTATGGTTGCCGTAATCAACAAAGTTTGGGAGGGTCGAACCTAAAAAACGTGCGGGTTTCTGCCTTCTTCACAGGACAGAAACAGAGAGCGAGAGAGAGAGAGAGAACGAGAGTCCGAGAGAGTCAGAGGGAGTCAGAGAGAAAGAAAGAGAAGGAGACAGAGGGAGAGAAAGAGAAGGAGAAAAGGTAGAGAGACGAAGACACGGAAAGAGCAAGAGGAAGAGGAAGACAAAGAGAAAGGGCCAGAGAAAGAGAAGGAGACACAGGCAGAGGAGGAGACAGAGGGAGACACAAAATGGGAAGAAAGAGACAGAGAAGGAGAAGAATCAGAAAGAGGAAGAACCAAGTAATTAAGACGGAGACAGAGGAAGAGAAAGGGAAGAATCAGAGAGACAGAGGGAGAGAGCGGGAGAGAGCGAGAGAGGGAGAGGGCAAGAAGCTCAAAATAAGCGTACTCAGCACTATACTTTGGAATCTTCCGCGCAGCTCTGCCGGACTTTATTGGTAATTATTTGAAACTCAACGCGCATAGTGACACAGTTGTTTGAGTTCCTCGTGCTGCAGTTGAATCGCCATGGGGCTTGTGATCTGTAGGGTTGGGGGTGAATCCATGAGGGTATACAGACCGACTGTGTCTTGACTGCTATTGGGTTGGATCTTTAGACGTTCACTGTTCGGTTGAAATCAAGTTGGGTTTTCAAAACTAAACCCCAAAAAGTTAAACTTTTTGCAAGGGGGTCAACAGCAACCAAGGAGTAACGGGTATGAGTATGTATGAAAGGATACCCCCTGGGGCCCTAGACAAAGTGAACCCTGACCATACCTCGCGCGAGGCACTTGGAACTGTAGTCTTAGCCATACAGGCGCTGATCTTCCATGATAACCCCACGGTAAGGTGAGCCGCAAGCAAAACCCGGGTAGATGAAGGTAAGGGACCATCCCCTTGCCATAGGTGGGGTGCGCCTTGGTAGTTCTTACATGGTTCTGGGTGTGAACCAATGACTCTGGTTGGGAATCAATTCCGCCTTCTGAATTCTTGACATGGTTCTGGGCTTGGAGAACATTTGAATACCGGGTTTTGATTATGGCTCAGGTGACGAACACTACGTGGGATGCTTCATTTCACCAGCCATGAGGAAGCTTTCGCCAGGCTCCTTGCTGGACAACGTGTGGGTAATGGACCGGGCCCAAGCATCTCAATTCACGTGGACCAACACGAGGGGAGTTGAAGCTGGGTCGATTTGGGCACGGGGTGTGGATCGGTGTGACAGAATCAGAGCTCGCTTCTTCAACTGGTCGATTTCGATATCTTCGCCCTTTGCGGGGAGGTAGCCTCACTTCCCGAGTTCCTGGACTTGAGCCACTTTTCAGGTTTGGACCCTTTTGGTGGTAAAATCGGTAAATAAGCACTTGTTTGACTTTAAACTTTTGGTAAACCACGCGCCTCGACTTTGGTTGGCCCATCCACGAGAATTCCGAAGTAGGTAGTGTTCAACGCTGC